GCATGATATGGAAAGAAAAAAATACTTCAATCTTGATAGTCTTGACCACTACAATTTGTTTTATATGATGTATGATGACAAAAAATTTAGAAAACTGTTACTTGTAGGTTTAGTTGTGAAGGAAATATGCTCTGGGCTGGCTTTACTGGCTGTTGGATATGTTGTCTAGTTATTCTTAACAGAACTTTGACAGCACTCAAGGATGAAGAGATAATAAAATACAACCCCATCCCAAAACTACCAATAAAAAAGTGGAGAAAGAAAAAGGTTGATTTTTCAGCCAGACATGTAAATTGCCATTCTGCAAAGACAATAGTATTGTATTTTATTAATTACTTTTCATCTGCAATGAAGTGGCTTTTCTTGATCCCAGACTTCAGTCCTATTGAAAATGTTTGGTGAATGATAGCAAGAGATGTGTACACTAGTAACAACCAATATTCCACTCTTGAGAAGCTGAAATACCATATTATAGATACATGAGAGAAAATTCACCCAAGCTACACTTTCTAAATTTGTAACAGGTTGTGCAAACATAAATAATTTTTTTTAATAAAGATTTAACTTTTCTACTGACTTTTATACTTACTGGACATCATTTTTCCAAACATTCAGAAAATACTTGAAAATAACTTAAGAAACATTTTAGAAAATTCTGGAGTTGATTAAACAAATTCTATAAAAAATTAAAAAGTTTGCAGTTTTTTTTATTATTTCTTGGTGGTATATTTATATATATATATATGTGTGTGTGTGTGTGTGTGTGTGTGTGTGTGTGTGTGTGTGTGTGTGTGTGTGTAATTCAATCTTGCTTCTGTCAATTTTCTAATCTTTCTTATTTTCAGTCCAGAATTGGTCAAACTGATTTTTTTTTTATTTCAGTTTACTAAATTCTGTTAAAATATGGAAATTGTTTTCAAGCTTATTAAATGATTTTTATGAGATTGAAGTACCCACCTACTTTGAAATTTTTATGAACTGACTCAAAATTTACATTTATTTTTAGATGTCTCATGATCAATATCTCAATATTGCTTGATTCAATTTATATCAAATTTTTGTATATTTTCCCATATAAATATCTAATGATATGAAAAAATGCATTTTGATTGTAAACTTAGATTACAGTTGCAATTAAGTTTTGGTAATGTTTTTAAATTCAAAATTCAAAAATCAAAACAAGATACTAGTATATCAAAGAAAAAATACAAATTAAAAAATGTTATTTTGAAGGATGGAGTTGAATGTATTAAGAATTAGTTTATGAGAAAATATGTAAAAAATCCTTATTTACAATTATTTTATTAGTTTTGGAAGGCAATGTTTTAAGCATGTTAAGAGACACAACAGCATATATTCTTGTGATATTAATATATGTCCATATATATATAAATGTCAATATTAGAATTCACTGTAATTTGCTTGTTTAATAATCAGATGAAAAGATATATTGCATAAGGACAAAAATTTAAAATGTTGATCAGTTTAAAAACGTTTTATAGGCTGTTAACTATGCTGATTACTAAAGCATTATAAAATGAATTAAATAGCTTAATTGATCTAATAATGGATATATTTTGATCAGATTATAACATTATTTTTTGATGGAAATAATCTTTATGAGACATTCTATTATATTGTGGTTATATCTGGAGGCATACTACCTGGAACATTATACTGTATGATTAGCTAATTCAGCAGATAATTAATCTTTTATTTTAGGACTATTAAGCATTCTACATATCCAATGGGACAAGATAGCCAAGCTCTCTGAAAAGCCAACAATCATCTCACACTAATCCCAAGTGGACGAGACACTCATGTAAAGATATTTTGCTCATATTCTGCTCCATGTTCAAAAAGTATAGAATTTGATTTTAGGTGTGACAAGTTTACAATTTTCTACAGATGCTTTTATTTGAAATCCTGTAATAAAATAGTAAAAATGATTTATTATGAATAATCAATTCTTATTTTTACCTGTCCAAGATTCTAACCTATTATTTCCTTTATCTACTTCTATCTAATTTCTCCATCCTTCCATTCAAGCAAAATGACCTCTCTTTCTTTTTTCCTTTTTTTCTTTCCTTTTTTGTTTTTATCTTCATTTATTTGTTTGAGCTGGATTATTATGAAGTAAGCATGAAATATTTTGACATGTTTTTGAAGAATCAGAATAAAAAGCTGGGAAAAGCTCATTCATAAAGCTGGGAGCAAAGAGTATGCCACAAGTTTATATTTTAACAGAGTTGATGGGTACATTATTCTCTAACAGCATTTTTTTATTCTTCAACACGCTTGTTTTCTTTTTGTTTTTGTATTTTGTTGCTTATTCCCAACCATCTGTATCTGCATGGCTGCTATTATTTTCAACACGCAGTTCCCAAAGTGACCATTATCCTTTGAACATATTCCCAATGTCTGCAACCCTTTGTGATTCAAAACCTTACTTAAGGACCTGATTTCGTATTAACACCCTCCTTGTTTCTCCTTTACCCTCTTGCCTGAACATTTTGTGTAAGTTTGAACCCTCTTTATTGCAAGCATCCTCCCTTCCATTGTCAGATTGGCTTGCATTTACATCTTTGGCAACATTAGATGGCCAGTGTTTTATCCCATTTACCATCACAGGAACAAGTACTTTAAACTATTTTTAAAAATTATGGATAGCTACTGTGACAGCAGAATTTTAGATATAAAATACTTTATGAATATAAAACAGTAAATGAACATTCATGAGCTCTTTCTTAAAATAAATACTAATTAAATGCAATGAAATTATCTCATTTTTCAAGATTAACTGTCAATAAGATACATGATTCAGTGATGTATCTAAATGGTCTCAAAACATGATATTTATAACTTAGCATTTTTACAGGAGCAAAAATATTTTACAGGTTTGGTAAGCTACTGGTAACTAGCTATACAGCAACATTTAACAAATTGAAAAAAATTTGTAAAAAAAAAGGAAGAATCACAATTTTCACTATGATTATTTAAAAAAGACCTTAATGGTGATTCATTAGCCCTTGATTACTTTATAATTCACTGAAAAACAAGCCAAACAAACCATTTTTTCAAATAAGAAAATTGATTCTTTTCAATATGTTCCAATTTTTTCTACAACTTATTTTGATCAGGTGAGGTAGACATTTATAGACTTTGGTTTTACATCTGGTACTGTTGAAATTAACAAGAGGTTGTGATATTGTCATATATCAGTGGCCCAATATATGCAATGATGACATTTCTGGAGTCCTTTTAGATGAATTAGTTCACTAAGTTTGGTTTACAAGAACAGCCCTCTCAGTCATATAATCCCACTGCTACCATAATGCTCAGCTTATATTTTATAAAAAGCAACAGTCTTATTTCAATGAGTATGCATAATTGCAACTGGTACACACAAAACTGATACATATTTAGAAAATATATTTTGCCTTTTAAATTTTGAAATAAAATTATGCAGACATAAGTTATAAATTTATAAAACTTTTTATGAATAATTAAAGAATTCAATGATTTTTTAAAGTTAACATTTGTACAAGAAGGAAAATAATTACAAATTGCCAGTCTTATTCAGTATAATATTATGAAATAGTTATTAATGTTACATTATTATATTCAATCAGAACAATGAAGTATCTCAAGAAGTGTTTTCTTTCTAATGTAAAAATTCTACCGAGAAATCACATTTTTGATGTTAACTAAAATATATATTTAAAAATCTATAGATATATTTCATAAAAAATATTTTACAATAGATAGAATTACAAATTGGCTTATTACTTACTAAAGCAAAAAAACTCACTCTATAAGTAAGAGTTGCATATGAAACTAAATTTTATATTAATTTTAAAATTTTACACTATAAAATTACTGATTGTACCATGCTTTTAAATTTAACTAGTTTGTTAAAGTAATAATTGTTTTTAATATTTAAAAATTTATTTCTTTAAATATACAGAATACTTTTATGAAGACTCACAAAATTTTCACTTTATTTGATTTACAAAATATGTAAAGCTATGAATTTAAAAAAAATTATCTCAGAGTTCAACTGAATAATTCTATGATTCTTATCTTAATATTACAACACAAAATGAGCGGTAAAAAATAATAAAAAAATTAACTTATTATAAACCTTTAACAAAATCATTTAAAAATTCTACCAGAATGAAATGATAGAAATATCAGTTTCATAAAAGCAAAGCAATATTTACAAAGGCATTTCATTAGATACCTAAGTTATAAAAGAAATGAGATATTTTGCGTTTATCAAGAATCCTTCCAGAGAATAAAGTTTGATTAAAATTAACTGTAAACCTCTCCTGAGGTTAATTTTGGCCAAAAAGGTAAATATATATAGCAATATAAATACTGAACCAAACTTTTAAAAATGTCACGGCTTAATTTCTGCTTTTATTTCTTTTCCACTATAGAACACTTTTGAAATCAAAATAAAAGCATAGTATTAAATTTGCATAACATAGTGCCTATGTTGATCAAAGTTCAATACAAAACACAAATCTAATTTTATTTTTATTAAATTCAGACATAACTCAGGGGAGAGGGCTTATTAATCTGGAAGACAACATTAAATTATGAATAATTAGGCAAAAGCAACAAACATTTTTTTTTAATCAGTATTTCAAAATCTTCAAAAATTATTTGTCCTCTATCTAGTCAATCTGCAGCCTAATGCCTATGCTAGGCATTTATTGATGGGATATTGACACTGTTTTTGGCGTGTTTTACAGGGCTATCAAAATGCTTTGTTAAAAGTGATGGGAAAACCAGGCAAAAACTGTGTAAGTAAGCACTGGCAAATGATACATGCCTGAGATTTGAGTGAAACTTGCACCACTTGCACAGCCACATTTGTTCAATTGCCCTAGTTGTTCCTTTGTCACGGATTGCTGTGTGTATCCATCTGCATGTGTGTTTGTTGGTTTTTGCACATTCACCAGGGTGATGACACTAGCTTTCTTATTTTCCAGGGTTATGAAGGGTCACTCTTAAAAGTCACCAACAAAAATGGCAAAAACACATCAGTAAGTACAGTTCTTGCACATTTTTCTTTTATTTTTTGTTTTGATTTTCAGGATTCACTTGCATGTTCTAAGCATGGTCATAGGTTATTATCTTATCCAGAGCCAGCACTATTGAGCAATGAACAGATTGTTATGGAATAGTACTGGTTATGACATAAAAAAGTGAAGGAAGAAAGAGAATTTATACTATCTTTCACAATATACCTTGCATGGCTGCTCTTCCAGTTTACTTTAAAACACAGACAACTCAAGCATGAAATTACATTTAGTGCAGCAAAAGAATTACACTGAATCTCCTTGTGAGAGATATTTTCATCTTTTAAAAATCACAACTTCACCATCAAGCAACACGTTGATTTCATCAGATTAATCACTCAATTTTATTTATCCTAATGAACTGAATTTCAAATTCTAAATTTTCATAATCTTGCTCAAACATTATTATATTTAATTATTTTTTTTAATTTTTCCTCTATACTAGTGAGAAATGTTTGAAAAACAGGATTTGCCAAAAAAGATTTCACCTTAAAAACTGAAAAAGTGTTGCTGTGTTTGACAACAATCTAAAATGTTAACAAAATGAATGCATTGGTATTTTTAAATAAAAAGAACTAATCATAAAATGATAATGTATTTCATTCTATCAATTGAAAACTCTCATATTGAATATATATCAAACCAAACAAATATGTTTTAGTAAAACACTTGTTTTAATAGTTTTCAAGCCTTAATGCTGCTTTTACTAAATATACAAATGTTTGTTATGAAAAGTTGATTATCACATTATTTCCACTACACAATATTCTCTCTCAACTCCTGTATTCTGTAAAAATTATATTTCTATCTGACATTTTATTGTCTATTTATGTAAGACTGTATATAAAATAAATGTTTCTAGTTATATTGTAGTTCTACACTTCTTGATATATGAAAATACCAAAATAAACATGTATATTGATTTTCTCTTCAATTCTCAGTTACCAAAGAAAACTTAACAAATTTCAAATTAACCAATAGTTTTCTACTTCTTTAAAGTCTTTACGAAACTTCTAAATTATATTATTTGGAGATAATCTATAATCTTGATAAATAATCAAGTTGTATTTTAATGAAATTTGAACCTTGCTATTTTCTTATAGTTTATGAATGTGGTGAAACAATCAAAAAATGCACATAGTATATTGGCAGGATATTTAATATTCCAAAAGGATAAGTGTTACAATTTATTTGCATATGCAAGTCAATTATGGTTAACTCTTTTACTATCACATTCTGTTCCTAATTTTAAGAACTTAAATTTAAAAGAATATTTGAAATTCATAAATGAATTATTCACTCCATATGTAATATACATTATTTATTGATTAACAAAGGCAGTAATATTATTTATTCTGTGAAAGAACTCTATGATTACAAAATCATGGATCATTAAATTAAAAGATTTGGATTGGTTTGATATATAGAACAAAGAAATAGGTAGTTAACTAATCTTGTGTTTTATATGTGGGATGCTGAAAAGTTCTCAGTCCAATCCACTTCACAAAATCTAACCAAATGATGAAACATCATTTTTTTTAAATTCCTTCTTGCTTAGACTGAAAACTTTTTAGCACCTTCTCTAATATATACATGTGCACATTATTAAGTCTACAGACAGATATGTGATTATCAGCTGAGTTTTGATCAAAAATTCTCAGTGTATAATATTCACTCAGTGTGATTAATATTCATTATTGAATTATAGACATTAATCATGAAGGGAATTACTTTACAAAATAAATATTTGTTGTGCAAAATAAATGCATTTTTACCATTTGGCTGCAAACTCATTGATGTAATTTCATATATATATATATATATATGTGTGTGTGTGTGTGTGTGTGTGTGTGTATGTATGTATATGTGTATATATATATATGTAAATATATATGTATGTATATATATATATATATGTGTGTGTGTGTATATATATATATATATATATATATATATATAATGTATGAATATATATATGTATGTATGTATGTATGTATATATTCATATACGTATATATATATATATATATGTATGTATATATATGTATATATATGTGCGTGTGTGTATATATATATATATATATATATATATATATATATATATATATATATATAATTAGAAAAATATATTTACGTATGTATGTATATATACAGAGTGCATCAAAAATACATTTACAATCTTTGGGTGTGGGCTCCTGACACCAAACAAGCTAAAATGTTCATATAAACATGTCCTCTGCTTGCTTCTACACATGCATAAACATGCCAGATCATTGACTGGCAGACCCTTTCAAATACCCTCACATGATATCAAATGGTTTCACAGGTCCCCATGACATGTTGATGTAGCATCTCTACATTATTAATGTTTACTGACTAAACCAATTGTTTTAGGATCCCAACAGATATAAATACAAAGTATTGAGGTTGGGGAACATGCTGGACATGTAACCATTCCTCCTCTACCTAACCATCTTTCATGGTAGATGTCAGACAATGCATTATGAACAGTGACTAAAATGTACTGGATCCCCATTATGATGAACCACATGTGTCTTCATATTAGCAGGAATACATCCTCTAGCAGGTCTGGAAATGTGTTTAAAATAAAATTCCTGTAGAGAGCTCCTGTAAGATGTGCTGTGTGCACATATGGATCTACCAGACAGTCATGTACAATTCCAGCCCACACATTAATTGTAAACTGATGCTGGTATCTAGCCTGTATTGTACCATGGGGATTCTGATCCAAATGTTGCCTCATCCATAAACAAGACTGAAGAGACAAACAATGGATCAGCAGTTTGTGCAATAAACCATCAGCAAAGGTTCTCCCATGCTGAGTGATCAAAGGGCAAAAGATACAAGAGCTGTCCTTGAAGTACTTTACATGTAGTACTATGAGATGTACAACATGCTAGGGCTACTTGCCATGTGCTGATACCTGGATTGTCTCTGACAGCCTCTAGAATGTTCTTCATGGTCAGCTGTATGAGTGGATCTCAGTCTTCCTCAATCTATAGTTTGTGGTGCCAAGGATCCTGTCTCAGCAACATGATGATAAACAGCAGCAAAGGTTAGATCAGACGACTGCCTTCTGTCTGGAAATGCAAACTTATACAGCCATGCAGCCTTGAATTAATTGCCATTCATGCGGCTGCATTTAAAATCTTATCTGCCTGCTCATGGTATGAATATCCTGCCATTGTTAAGTGGAACATTTCTAAGTAAACTCACAACTACACACATTAAATGTTGAAGACAGCCTAACCACAAATGTACACAAATAACAAATGTAACCTAGTCTATATGGCAACAGTTCCATCTACCATATTCTTTAAACTTAATAAATCGAAAAATGAAGGACTTGCAGATATATCTCTATATGGACTTTTGTCCTTGTTTTAGTGTGTGGAACCCACTTCCAAAGTTTATAAAAGTATTTATTATACACCCGGTATATATATAGTTGTGCTGAATAATTGTCAGTCTAAGCAAGAAGGGACTTTAAAAAATTTGATTTTTGCCCATTTCATCAGATCTTTGGTTGTGCCAAGAACTTTTCAACACCGCTTCATATTCATTTATGTTCACTTTCATTAATTCATATGATAAGTTCATCCATTTTTATAAACTTAACATTTATGATACTTTCTACAATCATTTTCTATGTTATGCCATCCCTCATTTGACTATCTTGGCTATCCCTTAGTTGTATTTTCATAGTCCCTTAAAGAGCTATATATATATATATATATATATATATATATATATATATATATATATATATATATATATATATATATTGTCTCTACTAATATACAACTACAAGCTACTAAGATTATCAAATTCTAATTTACATTGAATTTTCCTTTAAAGTGAATTTGATTTTGTCTTTTACTAATGATATTTTGTTTCATTATTTTCAATTGAAATATTTGATTACAGCACTCATTGTTATAGCAAAATTGGTTTTATTGAAGTCATGAACACATTAAGAGTATGACAAGATTTAACATCCATTTTGAAGGTTTTTGTATTATTAACTGATTTCAAAAAACTAATCACAACTGAATTAGATCTTTTTTCTTTTAAGATATTATAACAACTCACAATTAATATCAATTTGTAATAAAGATATTTGTCTATTTTTATATTCAAATTATATTTTAAAAACTCTTTCACAGCATTTCCACAGTTTATTCTATAGTCATTTTATTATATTTCATTAAAATCTTTTAAAAAAAGAACAGGATCTCTACAAATGAACTTTCAAAGCAAGAATGTATTCTTCATTTAATGTTCTTACAAAACCACTTATACTATTTTATTATTTCTTCAAAAACATTTTGTATTTAATGAATTATATATTTTACAATTAAGAAATGCAAATAATTTAATATTAAGATAAAACTGTTTTAGGTAATATAACATGAGAATAATATATTTTAAAGCACAAATTATGTGTTTCTCAATGAAAAGAATATCCTTTCAAGCCAAATAAATAGGTAAGTTTTACATTTCTGTTTAGACAGTACATTAGAATCATTGCAACACAGACTATTGTAACTTGCATGTTTAACATTTCATATCATAAAGAAAATATGATTTTACAAAATAGTAATAAAAATATTTAATGCTATTTTTAATTATTATAACTTTTGATTTTTAATATTTGAAGATTGGGTTTTTCCAAAGATGTGCTTTATCATTTTGAGCAACAACTATTTTGAAATAAGTTAGTCTTATAAGTTTTTACTTATAAATAAACTATATTCTTTACATATTTAATCTTCCTATTAAATGAAGGAAATATTACTAAAATATCAAAAGAAAATTTATTTCTATTTATATCTATCATAGGATATGAAAATAGAGATAATCTGAAGTGATCATGAAATTTTCACCATAAAGATAATGCATTTGGCAAAAAATGAAAAAAGATAAGAAATAAAGTCTTGACAAAATGACAGGAGAAAAAACAGACTAATCAAAAATTGGGAGAAAACAGAAAAAATTTTAAAAATTGCATTTGAATGCAAAAATGTACAGAATAAAAAGTACAAAGTGAGAGAAGTAGCCTGTTTGAGATGTTTATAACATCTCAACAATATTACTACTCTACACATTTGTAGTGTTTTCCACCACTTCAAATGATAAGTTGTATTATGCAATTTGTATTATTCTATTTTCCACCAAAATAGAAGAACTATAAGTTATACAAGATAAAATATTTAGAAATATTTTTGAAATTGTTGTAGTAGAAATAACTTGAGTATTTTAAATGGGTTTTTATTATCATAACATATAGAAGAAATAAATGAATATTATTGCTTTTATTAAATGAATTAGATTTACTTTCCAATAATGTTTCATACATTTTTCTATAAGATCAGAAGAAATTTTAAATGAAAATGGAATAAAGAAGTATAACATATTTCACATTTTCTTTTGTTTTTCTAATTATCTTTTAAATAGTTGTTTTCCATTTGATTATGCACACTTGCCTATTTATCATTGACAACATATTATAAATGATGATAAATTGAGAATAGGTTTTCCAATTGAGAAATAATCTGTACTGAATAACTAATATTTTGCATTTATACATTTTGTTTTTTGTAAGCCACATTTTCAGATGTCAAGAAAATGGAAATATTTCAAAATCAAATTCTTTGAAATTTATTAAGTACAGTTTATATTGATATTGTTATTAAAATGCACTCTAACTTTTTTTAAATAAATTATCTACAAATAACGCACTTTATCGTAGTCCTGTGTTTCCAGTTTCTTGCCATTTCATTCTAGATTTAATTGAAATTCATCATTTTCTTTTTGTTTTAAAACTAATTATTGCTGAATTTGATTTCATATGCAAAATTCAAATTCTTATCAGCCAATGTTTCAATATCTATCACCTGAAGGCATTTATTCAGTCATCTTTCTTTTTTTCTATCAAAGGGGACTAATGGATTTATAACAAGTGAATTTGAACTGATAATCTGGAACTTGATAATTAACAGCAATAAATACTTGAAATTTCTTATATAGATTTCAAACTTAAAACTTATTTCTTACCTTTCAGCCTGTAGGATTTGTCACATTCAATTCAAGGGTTGAAGCAGAAGCAGCAAAACAAGATTTACAGGTAAGATTCTTGTATTCAATATCAGAATAATTTTATCTTAAATTTCATTTTCAGATTCAAATACAGATTTTACTTTCTTGCACTGAACTTGTATTTTGTTTGCAATTGTTTTACTTTTATATACTTGGAATTTTTACTTTTAAATATTTGGAATTTCACTTTTTACCAGCTATTAACTTTGCTGATTATTAATATATTTTATGACATAAGTTTGATATTGTTTGTTGGTATTATTTCAACCAAAAAATAGCTATCATATTCAAGATTCATACATAATAAATTATATCTTCAGGAAAAATAACTTAAAATCCAAAGCTAATGTAAATTATTAATGAAGATCTCTTGTTTCCATTTAATATGGCTTCCATAACAAATATAAAATAAAATTCACGGATTTTATTTAATAATTCATTTAAAATTTCATGTTTAAACCAGAAAATATTGCTAAAAATATTCTTGAGACATTTACTTTTCCATTCTATTTATTGTAATTGCTGATTACAAAATACATTAATGTCTAAAATACCCTCCCTGTAGATTTCAAATGAAATATAAATATTTTTTATTTAGTAAATTTGAAAAACACACATTTAGAACTTACACACGAGATAAAATTCATAGTAATCCAGCTTTTAGCTTTTGAGTTTTTTGGGGGTTTTTTTTAGTGTAATCATTTTAATCTATTTAGTATTTTCTCATATAATTACAAATCTCACTTTGCAGCCCCATTTCTCAAAAATGTTCAACTCACTTCTTTAATTTATAAAGTCATATACATTTTAAATGGAAAATAATAATGTCAGTAGTTCCATTTATTGTTCACTTGATTGATTATGTTTTCTTTTATCCATATATTTTTTTATTTATTTTATGTATGCCTGTCAAACTGAGGTATATTTCAAAGATAGCTGGGTATTAAAAAGTTAAATTTCAAGTGTTAATATTAACATTATTATAATTTTTGAAACTACTAATGTATTCTTTCCTTTCAATATTTTTATACATACAAACTTACATTAATACATACATTCAAGTGTATTCATGTATATCTTTCAAACAGTTCTTTTCCTTTCTGACTAATCTAGATCCTTTATTTTTCACATGATACAAAAATGAGCTATTACATGATAATGACACATGATTTATGATTTGAGCTTGAGCTGTTATTACTAAGGGCTAAAATTTAATTTTTTCCATAAAGTAAAATCATGCTTGAAAGTCATCACTACCATCTTAACTATAGTAAAATTGTTATAATTGTAAGATAAATCTTGCAAAATAATTAAATCCATCAAACATTTCAGATTTGGTAATACAAATATATACCACTTATTAATTTCAACAAGCCAAATTTTATGGGGCTGACCAAGAAAAAGCACATTATGAGATCATATGTTCATCTGAAATGGATATTCATGGCAATGACATACCACAAACAAAATTATGACATCATACAACAATTAATGGCTTGAAAACATACAAATAAACAACTTATAATAAATCTATTTATTATCATTTTGAGTAATCAAATCATTTTGCCATTTCTTGGATAATTCAGACAATTTTTCTTTCATAGTTGGTTGCAGCCATCCCAGTGGTTATTGAATTAGATGTAATGCCAAGTCTGAAGCAAAGCAAATGAGATTTTTTGTGGTTTCTCTAAGTAAATTTCATCATGAGAGCAAAAAAGACTTGGTTTCTCCAAAATCCACTGGAACATCTATCTGTTTTTGTGATATTCACAGGGATCTGTCTATGCGCTTAACTTTCAGGTTGCTATTGATTATATGCCTTGAAGTTATTATCATTCATTCTGTCTGTATTTAGAGTGAAGATGAATTTTATCTAAAGCTGAAGTCGTAGCAATATGGGTAAAATATACTTTTGGCACTTTGTGTTGATGTTTTAAATGTTGACACAATAAAAATCCTACTAAAAAGTTCATTATTTTTATAAAAGACCAGTATGTCTGTATTGCTCATAGTTACTTTACTTTACTGTTAATAACTGCACTTAAGCTATTAATTTATCCCTACTATTCATGCGATCTGTTCTGTCTTCTTTCAAATGGTAATGTGACAATTATATACTATAATACTAAATCAAGTGCGCCATAAAAAATATCTAACTAAAAAATATCAATCAATTTAACATATTCCAAGTATTATGATTATTACACTTTTATCTTTGCTGGGATTTGCTTCTAAACAGTCTGATATTACACATCAATTTTAGGCAAATATATTAGAAAAGTAATACAGAAATTTTGGCAAAGTTTAACATTCATACCCACAAAACAGTGTGTCAAAAGGACAATTTTTCACTTGACAATACTATTACTGTAAACTCCCTCAGCAATTTTTATTCTTTTAAAAAGCTATTGTTAGAATTTTAATAAAACATGAACATATGAAACTGGATTTTTATGCATTTTCTTTTTTTCTTGAGAATTGACAACAAAAGTATCATGATCAACTGATTAGAACATTACCATTCTAACCATGAGTGTTATGTTCAAATCTCACTATAATTGATTTGTCAAAGATGTGACTTTTTGATAATATTAACCTGGAGAGACAATCCCTATAAGCAGTACCATTGGGAAGTGCCTGAGAATCATAACACAGGTTGATCCAAGCCTTGGAAGTAAAATTGAGTAGATGAAACTCTTTGGAACCCATCAATGGTTGTGCTAGCATAAAGTCAGAAATCATTGTGACAGAGAGTTTAAACATACTGGCCTTGTTCTCACCTGTAATCTCACCAGATTATGTGCTCTCCTAAAAACTGTAACTAAGGTATGCTCAGCATAGTTACACTATAAACCACATCTTGGTTCTGTGAGTGTTGAAGAAACACAAATATGCCTGAGCAGGCATTAGCAACAGTGATTATAATTGAAATCCTTGTTACACTGTGTAATTATATGTAGTTATCAACTTGAATGACAAATTGAACTGATAATTAAAAATATGTAATATCTTTTAATTGTCACAATAGTTTATTTATATAAAAAGAAACAACCGTTGGGAAATTTTCTACAATAAAATAATGGTGGCAAATAGTTATTCTAAACATTTCTTAAGAGTTGAAAATAACTATTAATATGTAATCACATAACTCTAAGCTTAAAGTAAATCCATGAAATCTGAACAACCAATCATGACCCTTGAAAGGAAAATAGGTCCTTCTAAAGTTCTGAGTTAAATCTGCTTAGAGTGTTTCCCAGTTTGGTCTGGATTGTCCAAGTTTGTCTGGGATTCTCCTAGTTTGAGGAGTCTGTCCTGGTGATATGTGGTATCAGTATCTTTTATTCATGTGCGTGTGTGTGTGTGTATGTGTGAACCCAAAAGATTAAAGAGTATTGGGTGATGAAAACATTTTATTATACAAGAAAACTAAGCCTATAATACAAATGGGAAAATTATCTTGGAAATTGGGGTAAGATCATATATTTATGCTAATATATAAAACAAAGTGATCTCCCATGATTTTTATTCTAAACTCACAAATTAAAAAGATTGTGACTAACTGGTAAAAACAGGAGAAATATTTTACAACTGGTACTTATTATAAAGATTAAAGATTTTCTATGATGGGCATTAAAAATTTTAATATTTTTAATGAAAACTTTTGTTTTTACTGCTAAGACTGTAATTAAATAATTTCCTAAAAGCATTTTCAATAAAAAATAATTCCAAAGACAATATCTAAAGTTTAAAAACAATGAGTAAGTATCCAAACTGTTTCTATGTTATGATAAATGTTCTTTATGCTCATTTTCTTTTGTTGTTTTTCAGTATACCTGATGGGAACCTCTGGTCTGCATTTGAAAATTATTGGCTTAATTTATTACCCTGTTAAGTTAATGCCAGTAATGTGTGTGCCAAAGCTGCTCAACACTGAAATAAGAAGTGGTGATCTGCCCCTTCCAGACAGGAAACTTATCTCCGGACATATTACTTGAGGTTGGAGTGAACAAGATGGCTACTACTCCTACTTATTACTGTTACTACTACTACTGTACCATGTCCTATTGCTCCATGATTCTGTTCTGCCTGTTTTTCACTGAACTCCCAGTGGCTGCAGGCTCAGTAGCAATACCTACTACAACCTCTAGTTAGTATATAGGCACATACAGGCAGCACCTGCAACAGGGGGGGCACATAGATTTGATCCTGGCCCCAGTAAGCTTGCCCTGGTTCACCAGATTTTCACTCTGGACTCAGCAACAGCAGCTGTGCAGCACCTATATAACAGCAGACCTTTACTAATTGTTTGTAGTTGGGACATACACCTTAAGTTGGTGTCTGGCAGCATCTGCAATCAGTCAGTCAGTCAGTCAGTCACTCACATGTTCTCACACTGCTGAGTCGATTGGCTCCTGCACCCATCACCACTACTCACGAAACACTGTCAGTTAGTAGTTCTCTATCCTCGTCACCTAGCATCAGTCAACAGCTAAATCTCACTGACATCATTCACCCTTCTTTACTTAAAAAAAACAATGAAAGAAAGAAAAATCTTATAAGACTGCTGGCATTGAATTTTGTCACTGGGCACTTATTAACGCAATCACATTCATTTGAAATCAGCTAGCATAACAACCACTTTTATTAACCTATCCATTTTTAGAAAAGTTATGGTTTTCGTTTCTTAATATCTAGTATCAAAGTTACCTTCTCCTCTTATTAAGTCACAATTACTAATATGATTTCAATACACTATGGCATAGAAATTTCTTCAGTTACTTATCAGATACTTTAAGTAATGAACAGTTCATGAATATTTATGAAAGTAAAAATTAAATGCATTGAGTATTCAATTAAGTATACAAGGATATATATTGGAATTTATCTTCATTAAGAATGCATCAAAGTAAAATATTAAAATGTGATATTAAAAAAGATTTATGTATAAATAATATCCATGCCCATATATGATATATATAAGTGCAACTTGAGAATAAGATTCAAATGTGATTAATTTTCTACAATTTTACCATTCCTTAAAAGTCATTTTACATAGACTGTTGACTTGACATAGTTTTTTGGGAAAGATCTGGGTGAAAAATAAAAAAAAACGAAACAAAGGATTTCCCCATCTATATTGTTTCATATGTTCAGTGGACATATTACCTGCCTGGATAAAGGAGATTTTTGACAAAGTTTTCCTAACCTAAAAGCAGGCACAATTCATATACCTTTTAGAGTAGTCAGTGCTGAACAGTTAAAAATAACATACTAGTAAACAAAGGACTGAACTTGAGCCCCAATCACAGTTTGGACTCCAAGTTAAATGAACCAGACAGGCTATTACTGGTAAAATAATTTGAGAAATGAGGTACAAAAAAAAGTGAAGTTCATTGGCTTACATTTGACAAATATCAGAATTAAGCCCTTAATACGAATGCCTGACCAATATTGTTGATTTTGGTTAATGATTCATGTAAAAATTGTTTAATTGAAATGTTTCACTTTATTGCAATAAATTATGATTCACATTGCAGTCTTTCAGTGTCAGTAGGGAAATTCTAAAATTGCATTTGTGTTCATAAACATATATTAACTCCTTAATCATAACAAGTATATATGCCAATTACACAAAAAGCACCTATGTTGTGATAAGAAAGATGTCTGTTTACTGCAGAGGGCACCAATTTTTCACAAGTTGTATGCATTAATTAAACCAAAAGAGGTTAAAATAACAATGTGATATATTGCAGCTTTAACACAATCACATGTAGCAGTATTTTGTGTCACTTCACAATGCTTCTTCAAACAGATATAAGAACTGGATTTAATTTTGCGACCATTAATTTTCAAAACTTCACATATGTATTTGAGCTTTTAGTTAAATTATACATTGATGTTTATGAAAAAAATAATATTGAAGATATTTTCCTGATTTAAAATAATAAAATATCAGTTAAAAACTGCTTAGTTTTGGTTTGCTTAAAATTTTATGGCCATTTATTATATTTTAAACTGATTAAAGTTACTAAACATATATAACAAGCAAATTATATATACAGAATAATTCATTTATAAATTAATGTGCTTGTTATAATCCAATGTATTAAATGATTGAAAAGTTAAATGTAATGAAAAAATACTTTTGTCTTTGTTATTGTTATGAACGACAGAAATTGAGGTGTAATATCACATTCATTTCAGTCATAAGCAGACTTATAAAGCTAATCAAAATGTCATTTATTATATTGGATACGTTATTAAATATTTTACAAAAGAAAGTATCAAATTTTTTCAGTGATAGAGAAATTAAAGTGTATACAATGAAGAATTAAAGTATATTGTTTCTAACACAGGTGCTTTTTGTTAATGTTTTTCCTTATTTCAAGGTAAAGCATTTTGTTTTGTTCTCTTCTGGCTTGTAGATATTTCCATTTATTTACTTATATATCTTTTTTTATATTTTTATTCGTTTTATTTTATTTATTTTAAAAACTGCAATTAACTTGTTAGTACACCAAATTCCTGTTGATATATGTATAAAATAATTACAGAAAAACTAAAGGTTGCCAAATACTAGAGTTGTTCCCCTTTTCAGATTTAAATTTTCAGTAATTCAAATCTATTAAAAATGTTAAATTAGCTTTACATTTAAAACACCAATACATCAAAGTTCACTGCTTTAACTATAATTATATTACAAATTCAAACCATTCATTATTTATGATTACTTTACATTAATACTATGATTGTGATACTGTAATATGATATTTTGATAAAAACCTATATCTTGTATAATAAATAAATAACTATTTCCAAAAGTCACATTTCATTAATCACACAGAGTTTTCATAACAATATATGTTAATATATAAAATTATTTACTTGATTGTATCTAGAAATAACACTGGCAAGAGAATACTGGGCTTCACAATCAGCAAATTAGCGATTCAATCCTTCATTTCACCTATTTGTTAATCTCATGTATACTTAGTAATTCATTAAATTCTAATTTGATTTTAGTTAGAATTATATGGCAAATATGTTCCTTTTTAAATTAGATAATATTTTTACTGATCAGATGTAGGAAAATAGTTGTAATTTTTCATTTAATGTAATATATAATCCTTTTGGTAATTTCCAGATTTCTTCTTCAAATGAATTTAGATTAGTTATACTTATATATATTTTATAACATATAACTCCAAAATAGGGTTTTGGTGTACAAGATTTACAAAATCACATAAAAGAAATTTATTCAAGTTTTGGGGCATTTTTACAATATATATTATATATATATATATATATATATATATATATATATATATATATATATATATATAGTTGGATGAGAATGGAAAATATATAAGACACATGTTTTGCTCATGAACCAGAAGCATCAGAAGAATTTTATTTCACAAGAACAAAATTTACATTAGACTATATAACTATAACTATAACTGTATCATTAGAGTAGTTAGATTTTAGCTGATCAGAAATTATTTATTCATTTTTTTATTTATCCATATTTTTTCAAGATTTACATATCCCACATTGTTTAAGTATTATTTTATTAAGAATAGGAGATAAACTGATATAACCCAGTCAAATATTAATTGTACATGACTAATAGATCATGACATTTTTAATGCATCTTTGAGTAAATTATATTCATTTTTTAATTTAAACAGTGTTTTCTACATTTTCTTTCAAGATCACAATTTTGACTGTACTATTTCAGTTCTCACTAAATTAGTACTAAAACAATGTAGAATGTGTAAACCCTGAAAATTAATTAAAAACACAAAATTAAAACTGAGTGGGAATTAGTTAAAATTTAATTTCTATAATGAAGTAAATTAAAGTAAAAATGAAACATTCAGCCACTTAATGAGAATCCCGTTTTGTCTCAGTAATGTAAATTTTGGTCTTGTGAAATACAGTCCTTTTCCTGATGATGGTGGTTAAAACATGTTAAAATATAATTTTTTTTAATATTTACATATATTAACATATATATATATATATATATATATATATATATATATATATATATGCTTTTAAAAATTATTTTTGCAATGTAACATTTGCAGGTCAGAAATGCAAAATAATTTCTTTATCAAATTGCTTTTGTTGTAATTCTCTGAAATATTTCTTATATTAATAATTCTTGCTTTATCAGGTTCAACTTTAGATCATCTCAATTTTCAAACCAGAATTTAATCTTCATATTGTTTTTGTGATAATTCATGTTGAATTTTTGTTAGCTAATAGTATTATGATAAAACTTTCAAAAATATAATCATATATCTACATGACTATCTTAAAAAACTTATTGCATATTTAACATCATTTAAATTTTCATGATTTTTCTTTAAATTTTAAATTTGCTTATATTTGTTAGTTTGATTTTAGAAATGATGAAAAAGGATTGTAATTATATATTATATTACTGAATTTATCACCTCCTACAACTTTTACAAAAACATTTTTCAAAATGTATTTTGTATTTTATCTTTTGCTTTATTTTAGCCAATTTTTATGCATCTGTGTTATACAAAAGATAAAAATATGTTTTTACAAATACCCATGATAAAATTTAACTTCAAGCTATACATGATTACAGTTATGTATTTCCTTTATCATTATTATTATTGATACAACTACTAATACTACTACCACTATCACTATCATCATCATCTTCTAAGTATTTAGTAAAAACTTCCTGTTCACATTTTATATTCAGACATAAATTAAGATCTTTAATATTTTAAATTGTGAAATATTTTAATTAATATTAAATAAATTAAAATCTTTTGCTTAATGATTTTTGCTTCTATTACAAAGGCTGCAGTAATCAATTTATAATTAAAAATTATTGATAAACAATTATTATTTTAAAATGGTTAAATTATTGTTTCCATTTTTTTTAATATATGTTGATATCCCTTCTTAATTTATCTAATATTCTTCTAAGTTTAATTAATCATAAATTAAATGCATGATTACTTTCCATCTTACTTATTACATAAGATAAAGTTTGGGGCAGAAAAATTATGATTTTTTTAAATAAAATGTAAAACTTAGTTATGACAATTTAAAATCGAATCTTTTATAATTTTATTTTTTATCAATTAATATGTAGGTTAATCAGAAAATAATGTTCACTATGAAAATAAAAACATACGTTTTTTTTAAGTGCTTTATTTGTTGTATTAAATTGTAAAATATACATTTGTTTCCAAATTTGTTATCAGATTTTTCTATATTTTGACAAAGAGGATTTATAGTGTTATTTAGATATACTAAACTGATCATTTTCCCTTTTCTCTTTTCAGGGAGTGAAGTTTGATCCTGACTTGCCACAGACTCTTCGGCTAGAATTTGCTAAAAGTAATACAAAAGTCACAAAACCAAAGCAACAGTCACCACAACCAGCAGCAACACACCAGACAATAATTCATCCCCTAACAGGACGTAAGTAATTTATTCAAAAGAATATAATTATAAAGCTCATTTTTATTAAAGATTTACATGCTTTATGATATGTTCATGAAAGAAGCTGTATTAAAAATTATCTGCTGAATTAATTTTTGAATTGATATTTCTCCAATTTTATAACTCTAATGTTGATGTACAATATAATTTAGATTTACAAAGAATGTTATATCTGAAGAAGTGTACACATTATTATTGTATTTTGGATAGGGTATCATGTTAAAAATAAGCAATAACATTGTCATATTTAAAAACTTGGTGATTTTTATTGACTTATCTAACCATCAGTTATGAAAATCAAAGTAATCAAGTTTATTTTTATATTAATTAGATATTACAGTACAGTGATTTACACTGAAAAAACATGATTTTAAGATAATTTGAACTGTTTCTGCTTATTTTTAGAAGAAAAAATCAATCTATCAATTAAACAATCTTTAAGATACAATCTTCCATCAAAGCATTTCATCAAAATGTTGGGTTAAAAAAATCCTTAATTAAATATAAATCCACAGATATGAATCATTTCTCAATTCAGGATGAACATAAGACACAAGTAGAAAGAAATAAAAAAAGGCAGAAGAATGAAAGAAATACAGACACAATATTTTAAAAGAAAGGTTTTTAATCTAAAAAGAAAAAATCCCAGTTTCATCAAGCTGTCTCTTAAATGAGATTCAATAATTTTATTATTTTTACTAGTTCACTCTTAATTAAAACTGAATCATAATTCAGTTAATGGAAATGGTGTTATTTTTAATGAACTTTGAATGTAGTTTTTTTATCAATAACTTTGAATTGTTATATACATTTTCCAGGTAATTATAATAAGAGTTCCATCTAAAAGAAGTTGAGTAATATTTAAACCTGCAACTTAAACCTGCAACTTATAGTTAAATAAAGTATTTAATCCCTCAATATATGATGTATTAAATACTTTATTTAACTATAAAAATCTGAGGAAAATTTATGGGAAAATATAAATTTGTTTACATTAATTAATTCAGTTTTTACATGTGATGTTATTGAAATTTATTGAAGGTTTAAGTATCACTCAACTTCTTCTAGATGAAACTTTTATTATTAATTCATTAATTATTAATTAATTATGAACTCTTGTTAAATTCCATAAAATAAACTCCTTCTAAAATTGTAATCATTCATTAATTGAATATGTTTAATAATAGTTTTAAATTTTATGTTAACACATAATTTCTGTATGTAGACTAAATATAACCATTAAACTGATTTGTTAAAATTTCATATTTTAAAGTATTTTTCAATGTTCACTTGCAGAAGAATTAGGTGCTGCCTTTTTTCCTGGTAGCCCTGAAGCATGGACTCCCCACCCATTAACTGCGTACCCTGAATTGGCCCCAGCCACCGCCACAGCCATCCATCATGCTGCACTCATCCAGCACCCAGCTCTTGCACAGGTACCGGTACGGGTTAGTTTGCTACTTCTTTTGTCCTTTGCTACTGTACCAGTGCAAAACACCAATTTGATAAAAAATCATATTTGCTAACCAAGAATTTTTATTTATATATTTTCATGGGTCAAGACAATAATTCTAAAGTTTTTCTTCTTTAAGTATATCAATAACTTATCTTACCTGTTATGTAAATTATGATTTTCAATGCTTCTAAATCATTTTTTGATTTTTTGAATATAGTTATAAGCTTTAAGATGGTATATATTAAACATAGTTCAAAATGGTATATATACAAAAATAGACATTTCCTTTGCTTCATCAAAAAACATGATACTTATCAGTTTTATATAATATAAATTATTGCATTATTCATACAGAATAATTAGTTATCATTAATTTATGCTTAATTAATGTTAATTATTTTAACATTTGTCTTAGAAACCAAGAAAAATAAAAATTTCATTTCAAATAGCAACTTGTAAAATGATGTATACACTAGGATTATCTGTCTAATCAGTGCTATAAAATAGTTAATTTAACTTACTTCAAACGAAAGTGTTTAAATATTAAGTCCATACTAACTGTTTATATATACTAATTCAGAAAGTCCAGCATAATTTATAAAGCAGTAAACAATTAAAATTAGAGCTATTCATGTTTTGGTTAGAAAAATAAAGATTTTTTGATCTTTGAAATTTTTGTTAAAAGGAGCATGAAATTATGCTTTATCAATTACACATAATTAATTTCAGTATGATCTATATTAAACACTGTGATAAACAATTACTATAAATTTCAATTCATTTCAAAGAATAATTTTTAAATACTAATAAATTAATTTCATATAATTTTTCTGAGTAATAACACACATAAGTAAAATATATAGTCAGTCATTTTACTTGATACATTTTATAATTTACTTTATGTTATTTCATAGGTTCATAATTTTCTGCTCAACACCTTCATTATAAAATAAATATTTGTCTATCATAATTTATAATTTATATTTATAAATTTTCTTTTTTGATATAATTTTAAAACCTTAAAACTAAAATTTGATCTAAAATCCAAGCTCTAAATATCAGTTTGATATTTCATTTTAATTTTGATGAGATTATACTTAAAATTTGTCTTTTCTTTCTTTTTGTATTTATTGTTATTTATTTTCAATCTTTTGGAAATGTCTTGACTCTTTTTCAATCAGTTAATTTGTCATTTTGAATTTATTGAAATTTAGAATTCATGACAATTAAAATGTCCACTGGTACACGTAGCTATAAAATAGATTCCTCACCTGATCTGATTTCATAACTATAATTTAACAATACTGAATATGAATGACCTTTTCTTACTAATAATTGTGATATTTGTACTTGCATGAATCCTTAACACACACACATACACACACATATATACACACACACAATAATAAACGTATACATGCATAGCAATATAGACATGAAAAGTTAAAGATGGCATTACATTTATAACTTGTCATTTTTATCATTTGTTTTAAGAACTGAATTAATTCCTAACTTTTACATCAAAATTATTGAGAACACTTTATAATTTCGTGGTGAAATTAATTTATGAATAATATTAATAATTTATATTATTTTATAATATAAGAAAATTAATTTTGTAGAAGCTTAACTATTAATTTGTAAACAATTATTAACAAATATAAAGTGGTTAAAAATTCTAAAAAATTTAAATTTATTAATAATCTTATTCTTTCCAAAAACAAACAAGACAAGTTTAAAAATAAAATAAATAAAAACTCACTCTCTCACACACACACACACACACACACACACACACACATATATATATATATATATATATATATATATATATATATATATATATAAAGACAATCAAAATATAGGACCTAATTGTTTAGATTAATTTTTTTTTACTTGGATTTCAGGGTAAATTTAGGACACCTTCCATTGATAAAATAATCCTTAAGAAATATTTGGCCTATGAGTAAAAAAAAACAAAACTTGCTCTTTATTTCATTCAATGCTAACTTTTTGTGTCAAAGCAATGAAAGCATAAAGTGAATTAATAGTATCTGGATCACATTTGGTTTACCCAGAATTTATTAAAAAAAAAAGTATAAACAAAAATAAACAGAATTTATATATTCTAACATACACACACACAAATACATACCAGGTTGGTATAAAATATAAATATAAATTTAATAATTTAATCAAATTTGGCCTAAACAAAACTTTACTAATCAAAGTAAACAACATTAGAATTAAGACGATGTTAACAATGATCCAGCAGCAAATTAATTCCATCATAAATAACTGAAATCAGAGAAGTCAACAAACTGTTGGAAGTTATTTTCAACCTGATCCATATATACTTGCTGTCACAACTTAGGCCAAGAAAAAGTGGTAATCTGTAGGGGTTAGGTTTGGTGGATAAGAATAGCGGGGTAGGACTTCAGTATCTAACTGCATGAATCTTTGTCAGAAAGTTTGTGGAGTATGATGTCTTACATTATCCTGCAACAGGATAAATCTTTCTATTTATCACTACAAGCCAAAATGCTTCCAACTTTTAATGCAGCAGTTCACAATCATAACACTAGGACTCTGCTATGATTGACTAGTTTGCAAAAGACCGTAATGAATAACTCCAGCACCAACAAATGATCAGAAGGTTCATTAATGGGATGAAGAATTGGTTTTGGTAAGGTTGAAAGGAAGGTGATTTTGCTGACTGAAAGTAAGCTACATTTGCAATTATTATACAGAAACCACTTTTCATCAGCAGTAACACTTGCAAAAAAAGAATAATTTTTTAAACAAACAAGCAAACTGAAACTATTTACACTATTTATATCGTTTGGACTGTTGTCATATTTACAATGTTTCAACTGTTGTATGCTCCAGCCTTCTTCAGGTGATATACATTGGAACTTCAAACCAAACTCTTTATTTAGTCCACAGGAGTAGATTGTTCTAATTCCACATGCTATGCCTTTTTTTGGAAATCTCAGTTTTAGTTAATTCCCTTTAGTAACTCAACTTTCCAAGTTTTTGTTCTCTCTGCTGTGGCTAGTTATTGAACTCACAACTCTTTTGAATCAAGTCATTTTTTGGATCACTCAACAAGTGCTTTTATCCACTAATGTCTCAATATACATTTTTTGTAAAAAATGGTTACTCAGATATTAGGTAAATAGTTACAATACATCTCAGAAATGTAGACAGAAGAAAATTAAGGCAAGTGCAAAACTGAGTAAGCTGCTGTTCATGAGTCAAATCATGCAGTAACCACTTCTGTATTTTCATTACTTTACCAATTTGCAACAGATGTTTTCTGACTGTTGCATGAGCTGCCCACAATTTTGCACCCAATATCTGAGTGTTTTTTTAGACAAGTCTGCATGACTACCTTCTTTGCTTTTCATTGTTGATGTATAACTTGCAACCATGTCCAGATGTAATTTGGAAATTCAGATCACCAAAATCATTTTTTGGAAACCAACCATTATAAATCTGACTCCCAAATACTGTTGGTATTATAAATTGTTTCAGCTATTCAATGGCTGAGTTTCAACTCATGAAGCATAATGAAACAAAAAACACATTTATGCATCTTTACTTCAATATCCAATGTTAGGTTATGAACATATACCAATATTGACAAATATCAGGCTGACCAAGAAGCTCTTCCCACCCCAAAATTTTATGTTAAGTAATAATTTGATCAAACTTTTGGAAAATGGACCAGGCTGAAAACATTTCAGCCTCCCACTTGTGTTGTATATATATATATATATATATATATATATATATATATATATATATATATGTATATATATATATATATATATATATATATATATATATATATATATATATATACTATTTAGTTCAGAATTTGTGAATAGTAAACCTCAGTTTCTTGAGTCTTTTTTACATAAATTATATGATGAAATCGTTAAAAATGTTAAATATGCCTGAATAATAATCCTAGAAATATTGTTGTTTGAGATCCATGCATCTCAAGACAAAGTTAGCTGAAATATTCATCAATTCAATATCCTTCTGATAGTTGAAGTTACACATTTCTTGACAGTTTTATTTTTCATAAAATGATCATTTTCTATTATTGGCCAGATAAAGTTATATGATGAAATTGAAAACTATACTATAATTATAATATTGTCAACAAAAATAAAAGCAATTATTTTATTATTCTCCCATATTAACCAATATTTTTTCATACCAATAATAACTCTGCAAATAAATCTGGCAACATTTTAAAATTGATAATAAAAAAATTGATCATAATAATAGAAACTAATGCCTGTGGTTCAGAACAAATAAGACTCAAATATTCAGTAATTACTGATTAATATATATATATATATATATATATATTAGTCATCTGTTTATTTTGAAAGATAAAAGTACCACCCTATTTGGTCAAAATTCAGCCCCTTGGTGGTGAGACTGAAATGGTCTAGGCAGTACATGGTCTCCTTATTGGTATGTGCAGGCCATGCACTGCCCAGACCACATGGTCCTCCTCTCACCCATACCAACAAAAACGAATACTGGGCACTATATTTAGGACTAGCTTTGGCTGCAGGAGTTCTCATGAGGTTGTTAGTGTTGACAGCCAACTGCCTTTGGGGATCCACTCTGGTTTTTCTATCTGAATTTACTTCCATAGCCTTTTCTATGTTTGGATATGACCACAAGGAAGTGGAGGTTTAAAATTAGGATTTTCCTTCCCCTAGATGGACTATTTTGGGGGCTGATGGTTTCCATCTACCCAAAGCAGCTGGTTATGAGGCACCAGTGGTTCACCTTTGCCCCTCATCCAGCTTGGAGCTGGACTTAGTTGTCTGAGGCTATTTGAGATGCATGCTATGGGATCATTTTATAAATAGTGGGCACTTGTTCCCATTACTACTCCTGGCTATGACAACTTTTAGAACATATATAATGTACATATATAAACATTATATATACTACATGTTTTAGAAGCTTCCAAAAAATTAATGTTTAATATATGTATATATATATATATATATATATATATATATATATATATATATAAACCATTTCTCAGATTTAAAAAGTTATAACTGCATTATTTACAAGCCCATAGGTGGTTTGTGAGGCCTATACAAGAGAGGCATGTACTTCCACATAACCTACAAAAGACAGATTGTCAACTAAATGAATCTCTAACCTTACAGAGGTGCCTCTTTCCTCTTTTCTTTTGCTGCTTTTCTGCAGCTTGATTCAACAAAGGAAGTTGCCTGACAGATCTTGTATCCACCATGTTTCTTTGTCACTTACTTCTGTTTTGCAATGATAATTATTGATGAACATCTTTTCAAAATTCCTTGTAACTCTTCAGTGGGATCCCACTTCTTTGTCAGCCAGAGATATTTTGCCAAATATGCAGATCTTTTAAAGATATTCTCCTTATTCTCAAGTGACAAGCTCACCACAGTTGGGTCTTTTGAAGCTCAGCTTCAACATTTGTTGCCATAGATGAGTTTAGAACCCACACAAGTAAGCACTATACAAAAGGAGGGATGGTGCTGTGGTTTTTATAGCTTTCATGAGATTTCTGGTAGTCCAAAATATGTTTATGTTGACTATTCAAGGTTTGATTAACCTTGGCCAGCTAGTTGACTACTTCTCTTTCCAATCTAGCATCAGAGAATGTGATACTGCCTTGATATGTCAAGTCTTAGATCACTTCCAGCTTTGTTGGACTGTTGGAGATTAAAAGAAGTGTTACTTTTGGTTTCAGGAGGAAGTGAAGGGCCATGATCACCTACATCCTGAAGGAAAAGAAAGATGAAAAATTACTGTCTTTTTAAGACTAACATCTATACCAAAGAGTTTTTGAGACCTTTGCATAGCAGGACATTATTTACTGGAAGACCACTTCTGAGTAAATGAGCATAGCCATGTCATTTGTTCTATGACCATCTTCTCAGATGTCTTCATAAGAGCTAGAAGGCACTTTAGGTTGAACAGATAGCTGTTTTTTATACATGGCTATGTACACATTGCTAGAGAATGATGAAAACAGTGTTGGAGCTAGCACATACACTTGCTTTTATGATTGGTATACAATGGTATATATATATATATATATATATATATATATTTATATATATTTTGAACAATAAGAAAATTAAAAATTAAAAATTAAAATCATTAGACACACTGGGTTGTAGATTAATATTCTTTCGTTTTTTTATTATTATTATTATTCCATTTAAATTCCTCGACTATATATATATATATATATATATATGTGTGTGTGTGTATATGTATGTATGTACACACACACACATATATATATATATATATATATATATATATATATATATGCACACACATTGGGATTGAATACTTTTATATTATTGAATTACCTGACAATTTCTTTCACTGATTCCATATATCTCTTCAATTTCTTTCCATTAAAAAATTAAATACCATTACTTTAATGGATGAAAATCTAAAACATGATCTTTTACATGCAGCCATATAAAAATCTATAATTCTAATGGAAGACATTGTTTAATGTACTCGCATATGTCAGTAAGCAATTGAATATAAAAAAAATCACAGTTAAGTGAACAGATATTTTGTAACAAAGTGTTTCTACATTATAATTTAATATTGTAATTTTAAACTTTCTCTCAGAATAGAATAATGCAAATATACAGAATAGTTTACATGATATTTACACACTAATGGTTTATAAAACTATATGTACATGCTTTATGATATTAATTTAGAAAATAATGCATAATTCTGTTCTGAAAAAATGTTATAAAATGTGTATGTAGCATCCTTAAGTTTTAAAATCTTTATTTGATTTTTTTTTCATTTTATTTTCTTAAGATTTTTTTTTTTTTAATTTAATTCATAACAATGGTAAATTATGTTTTTGTTCTTATTTTGGAGATGGGAATGTTTATGAATTAGTTTAAAGTATAAATTAAAAATATATCCCTTAATCCATTATTTAATAATTTCTTTCAGATCATCATGGTTTAATAATAATTATAAATATATTTATCATATATGAGATGTTTATTACTAGTAATTTAAATTATGTATCTTATACTTTTCTATTATTTCTCAATGTAGATATGTTAAAATATATACATATTAAAACAAATTATTCCCTCTCTTATGTTTTAATAATTCTACTAGAAATATATAAATCTTCTAAGATTCTAATCAAACTCAGAATTGTAAGCCTAATTTACAATAACCTAAATTATAAAAGTATACCAAATTAATGCAAGAGAATTAATATATCAAATTAATATATACACTAAATCATAAGCTAGTGAAAGTCAGAAAATATACTCATGAATCATTTTATAAATAATTCATTTCATTGTTTTCCTATTTCAACTAAAAATAGATTTTCTTAAAAAAACTCTATAATTGTAGCATATTTTACTATAAAATAAAATTTTAAATTTTTACAAATTGAAATCCAAATTCTTATTAAGAGGTACATGCACATTTTCTTAACATTTTTAACATGAATGCTTTCACAATTTTTTCCTAAACTCTATTAATATGTGCAGTGACTAACCAAATTTTAACCAACAGTCTTAAGTAAAGTTCATAAACATTTTATGCACAATATATTTACTTCCTATTTTGTCATGAATTAAGAAAAACTCATAAATAATTTTTCTTCAGAAATAATTTTGTCTGCATTTTTCTCTTTTATTTCTTTTCTTTTTTGTTGGGTATTGTTTTAGGTTTAAAGTTCACATAAATATTTTCAACTAAAATAAAATTAATTAAGTCATGTTCATAACTAAATATATGATGAAAATCTGTATTAAAAACCTCTCAGTTCTCTTGCATTGTCATATTTGCTACAGGTAAATCCCAATTATCAGAAAATCTTGGTTCCAGAAAATACGCATCGGATAAATACTTCCATTTCGGATTCTGCTTATCCGAAATACTTTGGAACTATGGTTCCCAGTCAGGTAGGAAAATTCAAGCTTTCACTTCAGAAGTTTGATGGGAACATCATAGTTACCTCCCATGAAATTTGAAAACTTTTGGGAGTATCACTGAATTTTTCCCTTAGTTTCACTTAATAAAAAAAATTATGCATTTCCCAATGATGAGTTTTCATCATTTGAAGACTATTGATTTATGAAAAATAAAAGATAGAGAATTAGTTCAAAGACAGATATTTCATTTCTATTTGATTTTCACATTTTTCACTTCCATTTTATTGGCTGAACATATTCAATTTTTGCCACATTCCCAAGGCTTTCATTTATGAATAAAAGACTTAATGCACAAAAAAAAACTTTTATCGTGTGTGAATATAAAAATTTCTGCAAGTTTATTTCTTCAAAATAAAATTCTGGAATCACAATTAAAATATTTTTGCTAACAGATCTTGTCTTGGCTTACTATTTCACAACTTTACTAACATTTAATTTTTAACATTACCTAATAGATATTTCGTAATGTTAACTAATCCAAATCTCATGAAAGCTGAATCATTTAATTCATAATTTCAGCTCAATCAATGAATTATTAAATTTTCAGTCTCTTTTGTTTGTCTGGTATGCTTTCCTTAAGGAAAGTTTATATTGTCTTACAGACAAGCAAAATCTATGTACTGTAACCATTTCTGTTAAACTCAACCCCTTTTTATGTCCTTTAGTCTTCATAAATATCAAATATAATAAATGAAAACAAGTAAATTTGTAAATTTTCTTATTATTCTGGATCAATAATTTATGCATGTATATGCTACCATATCAATATCATGCAGATAAAGTAAACTTTAGAATAATTTGCACTAAAATTTATTGATTATATAATTTTTTATATGCCATCCATGCCTTAGAAATGTGGTAATATATGACATATTTTGATGATACTTTATATCATTTTGCCTTTCACTAGTTAATTTAACTTATTTACATTTTGTTTGACATTAATATCATGGGAGGTGACAAGTGTACTTTCTTATCAAACTTTCTATCATTTAATGTGGTAGGTCCTTTGAAATTATAAATTATGTCCTCAGGTTGAAAAATATATAACAGCCTCCCTTGCTCTTGTAATGTATTCAAAAAAATTAATAATGTTTATTGTGTGTGGTACCAAACTATGAAAATCAGTGTTTAATAGATTATATTTAATGATTAAATAAGTAACTGAGAAAGAGTTGTTGTAAAAATATTGTTTTTAAATTGATATGCATATGATTACTTTAAGTTTTCAAAATTTGTGCAATAGTGATGATTTTTAATTCCTATTCTCTTTTTTACAAAAAGAATATATGAGAACATCAACAAATTTCAAGATATCATTGTAAGATTATCTATATGATAAATTATTTTTTTTAATTTTATCTATTTATCTAAAAAGTGAACAGTCTTAAATCAGGCATCTGATAATTTCTATCATATATCTGTTACTTTGAATAAATATTTTCAGCTCATAATTTTCTTTAAACAAGGAGACTATATTCTTTAATATATATATATATATATATATGATAAAAATATAGATTTATTATATGCTATATTTATGAAAAATAAAAAGCCCATATATATATATATATATATATATATATATACAAAGGGTGAACTAAAAGTAGGTATATACTAATATGACTTTTTATAGTAACAGTTGCTTAAACATGCTTCACAATGAGGTAGTGCCACAATTCAGAACCAGGGTTAACATTGACAAACTGTTTTTCAACAAAGTGAGGCACTTCCTCATTATGCTTTGGCAATAAGGGATTACCTTGACCAAACCTTCCCACAATGTTGGATCAGATGACATGCCAGTATTGAATGGCCACCACATACACTCAACTTAACACCAATGGACACCAATGGGTGTAGTAAAAATAATAATAAGGTTTAGGAGAAAAATCCTCACACAGTAAAAGAGTTCATCTTATTGACACTGATACAGATCCGTACTGTGTGTCACAGTATTCTGGAGAGGTTCAACAAATGTTGAAAAGTTGAAGGGGGACATCTCAAGCACTTTTGAAAAATAAACAAATATAATTGTAATAAATAAATGTAAAAAATATAAATGTAATAAAATGTGTAAAGTGGCTACCTACTTTTGGCCCACCCTATATATATATATATATATATATATATGTGTGTGTGTGTGTGTGTGTATATACACACACATATATATACACACATATATTATTTTTATTATATATATATATACATATATTTACATATATATATATTTATATATTTACACACACATATATATATACACACACACAATATATATTATTTTTATTATATATATATATATATTTCATCAAGTTTAAATAGATTTACATTATACATATATATATATATATATATATATATATATATAATGGACTCTCCCATCGGTTTCAACGTATGAGGATCTGACAGCTTATTGATTCAGTTATGAAAGTTTGTGCGATAATCTTAAGCGGTATTTAAGACCCGCTAGTGATTTACAAAGGAGGCCACATATGGAGCAAGCATGAGGATTGTGAAATGAGATCACTGTTAGATTGGCTGACCTTTTAGATCTTGCTCTCGCTTCTTGAAGATGATTCAGACAAGCAGATTGAAAATTGCTGAGTCCACTAAAACACGTTGATCTCCGTTTCTACCTGCTCCAAAGCTAAGTTACTAAGAGTGTTATGTGGTATAGTTTTAAGGTATGCTATATTTTTGAAAAATCAAAAGTGTGTATATATATATATATATATATATATATATATATATATATATATATATAGTTATACTTGAAAAATCATGTGGTCAGTTGAATCCTTGGTTTCAACCTCTTACGTTATCCTCAGGCAATTTTTATCAATGACTTCTTAACATGTTTTTAAGATTGCTACATTATTATTTTCAAAAATAAATAAACAAATACACCACTACTTCTTCGCCTTCTTTTTCTTGCCCTTCTCCTCCTCCTCTTCCTTCTTCTTCTTCACATCCTCCTCCTCTCTTTCTGTTACACACAATGCCATGCATTTGTTTATTTATTTTTGGAAATAATAATGTATCGTTCTTTAGTTTTTTTAAAAAAAATAGAAATGCATTAAGAGGTCATTTGATAAAAATCGTCTGAGGATACTGTAAGTTTGAAACCAAGTTATCAGATTCAACTGACCTCTTGATTTTTAGAGTTATAAGCTCTACATGTTATTTTTACTTTTATTTTATTTTTTCACACGTGTATTGATCACTTTTTAATACTACTGTTCCCTGATCTGATTCAACTTTGACCTTTTATGTATTATATATATATATATATATATATATATATATATAAGTAAAAAATTTTATTTTTCATTATATAAGAGAAATATTGCACACCTTTGTCATGAGCTTGTATTAAATATCTATTAACCTGTTATTCAACAATATTTTTATTAGTTCATAAAGTATTTGATTTTTAAGAGTAATGAAATACTATATTAATTACTTTATATTAAAACTTTCTGTATATTTTCATGAATATGTGAATAGCTTATAGCAATTTGTGTATGAAGATATACTTAAATATGCAGTCACTCATCATGCTAATAGAAAATCTAAAGGCAAAATGTGTATGCTTACATAATAATGAGCCAAAAAACAATTTAAAATTTGTCCTAATAATTTCATGCAAAGACTTCATGTTTTGAGAAATAACCCATTTGCAATTTCTTCATCATTATTGTTGTTTTGTACTGTATATTAACAAAAGGAATGATGTTATGTATATCAGCCTCTCAGCTATCAGCATGGTCTCAAACTGACATCACTGAATATTATTTGTTGTCATTAGAAGAGAATTATGTTTATGAAATCTTTTTCATTTTAAACATGATAAATTTCAGTTGTATAAAAGCCATTTCCAAAGAAAATAACAGAATGCACCTATAGAATTTAAGAGGTTCATGTTAAAGGAATATATTTTTATTCTATTTTGGATTAATATTGACATATAAGTTCTAAAAAATGCTTATGAAGTAGAATATCCACTTTAATGTGATTAATATTTGCATTTATCTATAAGCTTTCTCGGACAAGTTGAAAAAAGAATTTTAATATATAAATATATTTATATAGGCTTACCATAATTTTTAAACCTCAAACCCTGACAGATTTTAATTTTAATTTTTTATTTTAGGTCTAGGTTCTTTTGTAATAAAGTATTTTTGTAAACCAACACCCTTAACCTTCAAAACAAACAGTTATAGCTTATATATCTAGTGAGACACTGAGGCAAACCCATCAAACTAAGGCAGTCCCTGCCAAACCTGGACATATGGTAAGCCTATATTTATATCATTTAATTAGCATTCAAAGCTCAAACTAAAATTCTATTTACTTATAATTTCGTTTTATATATATTTTTTTAAATATATACTAATGAGAGGATGCTAAAAAAAAACGTTCTTGATCAGATCAAGAAGTCCTTTCAAATTAAAGCCTCATGATTAGTTTTTGGTCAGATTTTGGAAAGTCGGTCAGGTCAAAACTTTTCCAGCACCTCTCATGTAAGCACACACACACACACACACACACACACACACACACACACACATCTGCTCACAAACACACACACACAGACACACACATGCATGCATATGCATACACTGTATTTCTGCTCATATCCCTGAGTTTTGTGTTTTCAAGTACTAACACTGAAAACAATTTAAATTTGAGTTTTTAAAAATTCACTTCCAAAATATTTTGGCAATAACTTAGCTCTGTAACTTTTTTATTTGGCTAATATTCTTTTTCTGATGTGTTTAATTTAGTTCTGAGTAACTACTAACACTAACAAATTTGTAAAATTAAATATTTTCTTATCATTTAACTAATTTATTTTCATTTTGCTGTGTTATATTATCTTTTGCTGATTGTAAATATCTTCATTTTCCTTTAAGTATCTGCATAATGCATTTATTCAGTTTCCCTTTTTAGTGTTTAAAATTATATTTTTATATTCACCGTTAGCATAAATTTGCATCTATTGTACAGTAGTTTTAGGTCTTTTTAACAGCTATTTTCTCTTTATTTTCAATGGAAAAAGATTTCAGTAAGCAGAAATACTTTCCCCAAAATGTTACTAAAATGATGGAATATTATGTATTAGATAGATGGAGTTCTTTATTAGACCAGAAACACTTACAAAAATTAACTATCAGCTTTGACTCTTATAAACAGGTTAAAACTTTTTAATGAATCCTTGTACTGCACACTAGCAAATATTTCATAACTAATAATAGTAGCTTTAAATTTATGGAAATAGCAATTGCTCATTTGCTAATGAACATTTCCATACTCTGAGTGTCATTCTTTTTTCTTTTCTTTTTTTCAGATACACCCTGCATCAATGATAGCCCACCCTGCAACAGTTCAGGCAACTGTGCCTCACCCACAAATTGCTGCCACACCAATCCTGACTAGTCCTGTGGGCACCAATAACAGTTCAGCTACTCAACCAAATGCCCCCTGCTCAACATTGTTTGTGGCCAACTTAGGACAATTTTCATCTGAACAAGAATTAAAAGATTTGTTCAGTAGGTAAGATAATTTTTACTTTAGCTTCCACATAATGTTCTTAGAAATAGACACTGTAAAACTGTGATGTCACTACTATATGTATCAACAAGCATAAAAGAATATCAGAATGTCTTCAGTAGCAAAATGTTCTTTATCGCATACAAGTCTCTCTCTAAAACTACTCTTATTATATATTTTCCTTAATTTTAGTGGGAGTGAATCAAAAAAAAGATTTCTCAAATATTCAGGCTGGTAGACGAAAATAAATAAATATACTGTTTAATAAATAAACAGAGTGTCTACTCAAATAGGGGTATCTACTAAAAATAATGTTTAAGTAATATACTCTTACAAATTTTTAGGATTTTTCCAGTTTGTAGTTGAGTGTAGATAAACCACAACTAAGGAATTATAAATAAATCACAGTATAAAAAAACTTAATAAGATACATTAATATGAAAATTATTGGATCCTATTCAATAATAAAAAATTTGCACTAACTTGAATTACGAATCAAATTATAACAATTAAGACAGAAGAAAAGTGGTTATATATGTATATATTTAAGTTAATATTTTTCTTAATGGTTATAACAAATTATCAACAATAATTATTTAATGAGAAAGGAAAAACATAGTAATAAATTTATATTGTTTTGCATTTTTTTAATTCAATTTTCTATTATCCTCTTTGCATTAAAATTACATACAAATATTTTTGTTAAATTATATAAAAATGAGTGAATTATTATGGACAAATTGCTTTTAAATGCAAGATATATTGTATTCAAAATTGGAAAGATTTAAACTATTTACTTTTGAAAGGAAATTTTTGTTAGTTTTTATTTGGGTTAATATTTCATTGTAAATATATCTGGCAAATATAATAAATAATATCTGATTAGACGAAAATGTGAGATATTAATAAATTAACAACATTAATTTTTTAAGGAATTTTGTGAACTGAAACACACCAATATTTAATGAAGATATTGATTCAATATTAAATGAAATTAGGTTTTTTGTTTCTTGAACTATTAAGTAATCATTTACCATTGAAAATTTAGAAAGTTTAGAAATTTTACTATAATTATTCATTTTGTTATAAATATATAGATTTTATATTTACAAATTATATGTAAATTGAATAGTTTAATAATTTTACAACTCCAGTGAAATATTTTTTTTGATTTTTATTTCAGCTTTCCAGGGTTCTGTCGACTACGGATGCATAATAAAGGAGGTTCCCCAGTAGCTTTTGTTGAATTTCAGGTAGGAATTGTTATTTTTCTGCAAGCTTTTCTTTTGTCCAGCTATATTGTTGTAAATGTTTTTGTTTATGTTATGGTGAAAGTAACCAAACCAATTCTATATAATATTCATATATTTTCTGCTATTAAACAAATCTAAGCCTAAAACAGCCATAAGTGTAATTCTTTTTTCATCTTATAAAGTTGGAAGTGTTTTATAATAAGTTTTACTAGAATATCATTTACTTTAGATATCACTTTAATATATTTCTCAAACATCAGTTCTCTTTATTTAAGTACAAAACTCTGAACTTATTACTATTTATTTCACATAAACTGATGTTTAGTTTTATCTATTACTACTACCAAACTAAAAAAATTTTTTAAATGTATTAATTTTTTTTAAAATGTATAAACATATTACAATAAAAATTAAAATTAAAAAATGGAGAAACTATCATGCCATATTTCTTTGGCATATTATTTACATTGCCTTTGACTGATATCAAAAATAATTATCCTAAACTTTTTATTTCTAAAGTATAATTATCAAAAATTTTATTTATATATTTTAAAGTCTTATCAGCAACATATATATTAAATATGTAATTAAAAAAGCAATTATATGAACATCAAGACTGAAGTTTTAATTATATGAAAAAATGAAAATTGTTTAAAACTGAATTAATTTTGCAAAGTAATGATCACTTTCATGAAATTAGTATGAATCTATAAGCACACTGATCACTATGAATAATGAATTTGTATACTGTTTGATTGCACTAACCCATGAATTGGGTTGGTCATTTGCAGAGAATATCATTGGTGTTTTAAAGTAAAAATTCAACAAAAGTAAAAATGTAGTAATCTTGTGAATCTGTTGTATTTTTGTCATTGAGTGTATGTATATTTCCGTTATATTTTCAATAGATGGAATTGGCTTAAAAGTAAACAAAGATCTAAAAATTTAACAGAAGCAGTGATCCATTTCAGAGTTTTCCAGACATATAGTTTCATTTTGACAAAAATTGGTAGGATAACAAACATATTAAATCATCATCATCATCATCATTATCATCACCACCACCACCATCATCATCATCATCAACAACAACAGCATCAATACAAGTTGTTATTCTTGGAATCTGGCATTTTTAGAAAGACCTGATTCTTAGTTAATGATTAATTTCTATGCGCATGTGATATTTCATTTCAATGCTCTGAAATTTCTCAATTTTTATTCTTTATGCTTTCTCTCTCATTTTTTTTCTCTCATTATCTCATTCTTTCATTTTTTTATTTTTTTACCTGTTTCATTTTCTTCTTCCTCTCTTTCTCTTTCTCTTTCTCTCTCTCTCTCTCTCTCTCTCTCTCTCTCTCTCTCTCTCTCTTCCTCTCTTCTGCTTGCAGTACTTTGTTTTATTTGGCAGCTTTTTGTCTTATTGTCTTGTCTCTGGTTAGTGTTGGTGTTTCTAAGTTCATTTTCATGTCATGTTTATTGACTTCAAATAAATTTTCAATCAATGATTGCCTTCTTGAATATTTTTTGTATTCTGATATGCTTTAATTCCTTTCAGCTTATATGAATCTTTATTCGCTCAATTTTTAATGGCAGGGTTTATTATTGACAAGTGTCCTCTATATACTCTGAAATTTAGGGGTAAAACTGGGTTACCTAATGAAAAACAATTGAGGTTACTCATATTTTTTTATTTTCTTACTTTTTTACTAAAATGAATTGATTGGATATTGTTTATTTGCTTTTTAATGAAAATTCCTAATATAATATATCAGAAATATTATTTCACTAACCAAGTATAGATTTATATTTCATTGTCAGAACACTCATAAATATCACATAGGTGTTCTGTTAATGTTTTTAATGAAAACATTAAATTCTTCTCATATTTCATAATTGATATTTCTTCTTATTTGAGAGTATATGAATTTCTTGTGAGGATGGATAACAAGTCAGCTTACAAGATGTGAGATCCTCAACTTGAAGCTATCAGCCTGTCATGGAAGTTGAATGACCAGCAACCATTTAAAATGGCTAAAATTCACTGGTATTATTGAACTGACAATAAAAAATTGGGAGATTAAACATGTAAAAGCTAAGGTTTCTCTTGAACTCTATATTTTATCCCTTGAAAAAATATGATTACTGAAATAAAGTAATCATCTGGCTGAATATATTGTGTTGATTGTTACAGATCACATTTGATCTTTCCATTTTATGTGCCCCCAGCCATTCCTCCCAGTGCAAAGACTTCCACCCCTCACAACATGGTGACAAGAGCCAAATTATGCCTCAAAATAGCAGCAGCAGCATGTGTAGAAAAAGTTCTTGTCTTCTTTATTATTTTTTCAGTTTTTATTTTTATTTTTTCTGACTTGGTTTTTGATATGCCTCTACAGCACTTTCATAGCTACCAGCCACCTCACTGCACCTTGCAATACTAATTAAATAGTCTTAGAACCTTCAAATAAGTCCAAAATTGAGCATTAAAAACTTCGATAAATTTCTTACCATAATGGTAAAATCAAAACAACTTTGCATTTAGGAACAATGGCTACATAAACACAAAACCATGGCTTTAAGAAATGACTCAACACAAAACAAGAGTACAAAAATATCTATATTTTAAATCACACAAAATCACCAAACAAAAATCACCATTGCTATATAATGTCTGCCCATTAAAAAATACCCATGTTAAAAATACTATTAACTTTTAACAAAAATTTTAAATAGTACTGAACACAAATAGTAAAATATTTAAATTATACTTAGGAAGAGCATATATTTATGATTTCTGCAGTATAAATTCTGAGAATTATGCATATCACTGACCCAAGATTGAATAGCTTAATTAATATTAAATTCTTTTCCATGCCAAATGAACATTTTAAAAGGAACTGATCATTTAGCTAAATTTAATAATCATACAAGCTGACATGAGAAAAATGTGAAACATGAATCTATAAAAATTACAATTTCATTTGCATGAATAATCTGCATGTTCCTTTGCTACAATAAAATGGCAATAAAAATGACAAAATAAGGCAAGTAAAACTCAATCAAATGAGTTTTTTCTTTAAAGTATAATAAAAATGGAATAGTTTACAAACATAAAAAAAAATGAATGATGTATTTTATAAAAATTTATTATTTATTTTGACTAAAGATTTTTCAAATGTGTTATATCTTATTGAAACAATTGTTATTTTATATTTTCTCTGGTAGAAAATGTTATCTTCAACCATGTGTTTGGTTTTAAACTTGGATCAGAAACTCTCAGCTCATTCAGGATACAACAGAATTCTTAAGCCATTTCTGTTTTCTTTAGTGGTTACAATTCTCCAAATTCTATGAAGGAGAATTCAACTTGAGCAATATGCATATTTTCATATATTCAAAGAAAATGTTATCAAATTTTAGGCATGTGTTTTTTCAGTTATTGTTCAATTTTAAGTCTGAATTATGAACAGTATAGAAAAACAATGACATGTATTGCTGCTTCTGTGTTTCTATATGTATATGTATATATATGTATATATACATCTATATACATCTATATGAATTCTGAGCCTATGAAATAAGTTGAGAGCTATGAATGTTTAGCTAAAATATTTGTTGTTTCAGAAAAGGTAAATACTAAAATGCTTTCTAAGAAGTTTATGATGTTTTGCTCAATTTGAACTTCCAAGAAACCATCTTTTAGAGTGAAATTTTTATTGCTTTGGACTAAACTTTTTCTTCTCATCACTCTCTATCATTTTGCTTATTGTTTTTATGCAGGTATTTGTGTGAGCATTTAGTGTAACCTCACTTCTTCTTAAAGCTATTTAGTTATTGCAACTGTGACATTCCCTTTCTAATTACTAACAGTATTATCTGTAGTGCTATTAAGGTGTCAGTACCTTTCTCATGCCTGCCTGATATTTGCATTTAAAACCAGAATAATCTTATTTCTATTCTTGCTAATAATGCAAATTTTGTTCAGATTACTTTATATTTTCACCTGAAAAACTAAAATAAGTTAATCTGAATTGTAAATATTAAACTAGATTAAACTAAATATACATACAATATTAAGCAAATTATTTAAAAAATTACATAGGATTAAGAATCAAATTAACTGTAGACACATTTTTCATAAAATTATTGTCTGTTTTATGCATGTATATATATATGTGCATGCATGTGTTTTTCCCCTGTATTTGAAGCAAGCACAAACTCCATTGCAGCTTGTTAAAATAAAGCAAATAATGTGAAGTAAATACCATGTATTTTATACTTGATTCTGAATCTTAGTCATCAAAAGAAACAGCAAAAATATCTTTTTCGTTTTAGTTAATTAGAACACTACTTCATTTATAATTTATATTAATTATATTAAAATTTATATTTATATTAATACCACTCAAAAGTCCAACAAGATTTTTCTGAAATCAACAATCATATGTTTTTTCTCAAATGAATTTCAATCACAAAAGGTATTTTTCTGAAGAATAATACATCAGAAAAAAAAATATATATTTCTGAGAATTGTCAATTCATGAGTATTTTTCATTTTAATACATTAAATTTAATTATATTAGAAAATATTTAATAAATTAAATATTTACAAAACTTAAAGTTTCTGCTTATTTAATTTAAATAGTATAATTTTGACTTTAATATTTACTGAGATTATACATTAATACTGATTAAATTTAATAGAATCATTTTAATATATATGATCTTGAAAGAATGATGGCAAATCTAAGACAGTTACCTTGTTAAATTTTGACTATAATTACAATTTTGCTTTAATTATTTCACATTTATTAAATATCTCTTAAAAATCTTTTGTTCATAATTTAAGTTTTAAACCAGATTTCAAGTTTCATCTATGCACTCCCACCTAACAGAACTTAGAAATATCAAAATAAGTTTAATAAGCAAAATGTTTAAAATTTATTCATTCAGTAACTATTTTTAAATAGTTGTCAATATTTGAAATTAACTTTAGTCTAAAAAGGAATACATTTAAAAGTAGGTAAGAATATTAATGCCTTTTAATATGTATATAAATTAAAGAAATTGAAAAACATTGATTATGAAATAATTACAGTTAAATAGAAATAAAATTATTCTTGTAAGTTCAGGCAGACCAAACAGTAGCAGTAATGGTACCTTGAAGCATTTACATTTTTGAGCACTTGCACATTTTTCTTTATTTTTCTTTCTTAAGTGATGTTTGCATTTATTTTTGTAGGATGTCAGGCAAGCAACTGAGGCCATGAACAGACTGCATGGCTTTGTCCTCTTGTCATCAGATAGGGGAGGAATCCGTATTGAATATGCAAAAAACAAAATGGGAGAAGTGGTAAGCTTTATCTAAAGATTAACTTAGACACGTAAGGGAAAGACACAAAGCTTCAAGACCCTCCCCCACTAGACTCCCTAGTTTTATTCCCACTCCCTTCCACAATATCATTGCAGAGAAAAATTTCAGCTTAGCTCACAAAGAGGAACATAGCAAAAAGCATATAGCTGGACAACTTGCTATGATCATTTTTCTAATCCATTTTCTTCTCTTTTTTATTTCTATATGCACTTCTTCAGTGTTAACTTAGCACTGAATTGTGATACACATGAAATGCAGGGAGTTGACTTACAAGAACTGCCTGAAGTTAACTGTTTGAGAGAAATTACTTGACAAGTGTTAGATGTATTAGTTAGCATTCTTAGTGTTACAACATGACCTTGATAGTGAGAAAGTATCTGTCTGATTCAGTGAAGAGGCAAGGAAATAAAATATTCTTTAATTACATCCTTACAAATATTATTAACTTATATAACCCTGGGTTATTTATTCAAAATCCTTTAATAAAAAAACTTAAACTCAGTTGAACAAAAATAATTCACATCAACCTTTACTGAATGTTTATTATTTCCAAATAAAGCTAATTGTATATAAAGAAATTTCCTTATAAAAAATAATAAACTGAAAGACTGAGAAAAAGAGCAAAAGTGAGAGAGAAAATGTGGGAAAGAAAGAAACAAAAAATTACTTAATAAAAATTAAATAGTGGGCTCCTTTTATGAAATCATTACCTATATTTAATTTATAATGCAAAAATTCTCCAAATTTCTTGTTTTGGAAAATATATAATATCCAAATTATTTTGTAATTTTCTGGCTGTAGTAAGCAGCTATAATATGATGGTAATATTCTAAATTAAGAATTTTCCTTTCATATTTGATTAATCTGGATGTTATTTTACTTAATGTTATATACTAGTTATAATTTTTTTATTACTAAATGTTTCTGCAATTTTGAATAAGATCCAGGATGAGAACAAATGTTTTATAACTTTTCAATTGCAATGATAAAGTAGCATTAAAAATTTTAAATTATTCTTGTAATAGACATGGAATTATTCATATCTTTCAGAACACCAATTTGAAAAAATAATTAGAAAAAACACATAAAGTGTAAATGTCTGATTTTTGAAATTAATACCAGATTGATAGAACTACAGTGAAAAAATTTCTGAATGATATTTGCAAAATAAACCACCAAATTAAGTAAATTGTATATTACCTTTTGATTCTTTTAATGTTATTTTCCATTCTAAGCCTCCTCTTCCACAAATTGTTATAAAAAATGAAGATACTTTTGTACTATTAAGGTTTTTTTGAAATTACGAAAAATGTCAACAGATGCATTGATACATTGTGAAGTAATCTGGCAGTGTCAATGATTGAAAATTAAAGTTTGCTCTAAACGGCCCTCAATTGACTTCTTATTTCAGGGCCAAGGCCCTTGAGAACTCACTTCTGCTCCTTCTGAATGTATAGAGATATCAGCCCATTACACATGTAAGTACTGATTGGTGAGCTGATGTACTTGAATGTTTACATCATATCCAGGCCTGAAGATCTAATTGCCTACTTTATTTCTATATTTTATATATATATATATATATATATATATATATATATATATATATATATTCATTTATTTTCATGCATATAATTTTCTTTGAATGCTAATAGTAGATTTTTGTTGTGTGTGTTGTTTAAAACTTGTTGTTGACTTTTAATATTGGATGGTGAAGAATTTTGATCAAAAGCAGTATATATATCCCCAAAATCAACTTTTGAGCACTGATTGAGATTGTTTTAAACAAAGTTTGAAATATTAGGAGTTACAAATGTACCTTAAATAAGATATTTTAAATAGTTTTAAGTTATTATATAAAAACATAATATAAGTCAAGTATAATAAGTAAATAGAAACATCAAATAAGATATTTTTCTATCATGTTTTAATTTCTATTTAAAATGAAAAATAAGTAAACAGTAAAAATTTAAGAAAATTCTTTATAATAAAGAATTCTATTATAAATCAGTAGTAAGTACATATGTTAACTCTCACAATTTTCAAGTTCCCCAAACAGAAGTTTATCAAGTTTTTACATTTAGACATACCATAAAAATCTTTAATCAATCTAAAGGCAATATTCAAATAATAATACTCATTCTTCTTTGCTCTATAACAATAAAATCATTGAACATTTGAAAAATTCATCTCACCCAATCATCTTATAAACATATCTATTATTAGTTATAATACTGGAGTGATGGCCATACTACCTTGAAATGTTTTCTGTAGGCTATCAGAAATAGTGGATATGATAAATTTATTTTATTTTTATAAAAGTTTATCTGATGACTTTTTGTTGGACCCAGATAATTTAAAGGAACAATGATGCCAAACAATATCTATACCCTAGAAATACTTTTATTTAAAATAGAATGTGTGAAGTTATCATCAGGATATCTAAATTTTTATTAACTCAAAGAAATAAACATTAGTACTTGAATTTGAAAAAAATAACTGAAATATAAAATTTAAGATCCTCAATTTTTTAAATATTATTTTAAAATTACCTTCTGCAAAATAAAAATTCAATATTGCTATGTTGCAATGATTTTGGCATGTATTTGGCAAACGAGTTTTTCTAAAATAATTGGGGTTTATTGTTAAACTATTTGTCAAAATAAATGACTTTAGCTAAATATAATATTTTATGGCTTTAACCATCTTTAATAATATCTAGTTATTACTTCAAAGAACTAGAGTAAATGATTAAATAAAAACATAAGTGTAAATAAAGGAGGAAGCTAATATCTTTGCAAATTGATTTCACGTATTTTGCAGTTAATTGTTCTCAATGTTTATTGTTTACTAAAATAAATTTTAATTGATTACTTTTACTATTTATGGCTATATCACTATTATAAAATCACTAAATTTAAGCAATGTTAAACTTAGTCAATGTGAGATAACAAGTAGATAAGTGAAATTCTATTTGTTTCAAAATTTGCATTATACAGCTCCAAACACAAAAAAGTTGAGAAATGTTATCCTGCACCCAAAAACAAATTGTTATCAAATATAATATAGCCTTTATATTTCTTTAAACTAGCAATAAATTAAAATTTAGAATGATAATATTTTAAATATTAATTATTAATACTTATTCTACTCAGTTAAATGCCAAACTTTATATCTTCTTTAGTAATTTACTGTCTGGTATAAATTATTTTAAATTAATGCTAAGTTTCTTCATTAAGTAGAATTAGTTTATTAAACTTTGACACAATTGTAAGGACAGGTTTTAAAAATAGCATATAAAAAAATCAAATTCACTACTTCATAAATAGGGTTATCAGTCTGCACTACTAGAAATCTATATTCTGTTTATGATGGTGTTATCCATGATTATCATATGTAGCTTCTGCAGATTATTCTAATATGTAATAGCATGTAGTTTAGGACCAACTACTTTCAAATCAACAAGGAAGGCAAGACCTTCAGGGATTAATAATAGGTTTTCATTAATCTGAACTGAAAAGAGAGATTATCATTAAACTGTAATAAAATGTAAGTTAATTCATGCACAAATTTTGTATTGAAGCCTGGGGATTAATTTTCCACAGTGGTTTAAAATAAGATTACTCAAATATCATGACTGGAGTTTTGTTTATATGGTGGCTGATTAAAAAGTAAAACATGATTCAAATCATAGCAAGGGAAACCTAGATCCAAATTTGTTGATTGGACAAAACAGTATTTGAATTCATATAATGATTAATTTTTTAACTTTGTATTTAGAGAATAAATCAATGACCTTGTGACTTTAATAATAATGTTTAAAAATTAATTCTACCTTCTTCAGAATAGCACTGAATTACAAAATAAAAAATAAAAAATCACTCATTAGTAATTATTTTGTTTCTGATAAATTTTATAAATGAGGATAGCATCAGAAGTATCTTGAAGGATGACTTGGTCAGCTTCACCATTATTATGAACAACTTATTCAAAAATTAAAAAAAAGTGACTGTAAATATTTTACACATATTTATTTAAGAGTATATATTAAATTAAACCATCATAGACCAGTTATATTGAACAAGTATATTGCCTTATGAAAATTTCATATTGCATATGAAAATAATTCACTAATATATCATTAATATAATTAAATATAAGATTTATGTCAAAATATCCACAACAAAAGCAAATCTAAAGAAAAATCTACACAGATCAAGAATATAAAACCATTTTTCTATGTCAAATAAATACAAAAAATTCTATATTGTACATCCAACAGTTAACACAGGTTGTATAATACACTCAACTGAATATATTTATTATTTAGGTACATAATACAGATATAATTGTAGTTTTCATGTTATTCTAACATGTTAAAATTCTGCAATTTTTTTATTTGACTTTCTCAATAAAACATACATTTTATTTTTGCAATGTAAGCCTCTGTAATAATTCTGATGACTAAAATATTAAATATGAAATACTAAATTAACTTTTAAATTCATAAAAAGGAAAAAAAATTCAAATTGATTTTGCATCAGAATCAGACATCTTAAAGTAATGTTTCCAACTGTACATCTATTCTAATGAAGAAAGATAATCATAATCTATTTCTTTGCATATGTTGCTGCACCCAGTTAATGCCAAGTGTTTGGTGGATGAAACCAGTTATTACTACTACCAGTCTGGAGGTATGTAAGACAAAAACCCAATAAGACTTTCTCCTTCAGAAATTTGAAGCTTGAGAGCATTTCCTTTTTTTGGCTGCTTGCTGTATATAGCGATTGCTGTGACTGAGAAAGCTTGCAAAATTACCAAGTGAGAATGGCTACTTTCACTTCAACTAAAATGTCTAAAACTAAAAAATGGTGCAATTCTGACTGAATCAAAATATTGAAACTATCTTGGTTCACACAATAACATTGACCAAGAGATCAAAATCAACTTACAAACATCCAGACAAAAACATCAGTGTCAAACAGAAAAATCCTCCACTTTAAGAAAATGCAAAAGATTTAAAATTTTGGGTATTGAATTTTGTTTTATTTAAATTTATGAAAGGATTATAAAAGAACAAAAAACTGACAAATGGATGAATATATATCTCTATTTTGGTTTCAAATAGATAATTCAGTCCATCCACTCTCTCTTATCTATACTTATTATCATAAGCAATATTCATTTATATTAATGTTATTTTGATGTACAGGTGCAGCTCTTGTCTCTTAAAACAAGACTGCAATCCATATTTGGTCATTGAAATTATTTTTAAAAATATCTATTTTCAGAATATCCTTTTAAACCAATCTGATTCATATAACCTTATTATTTTAATTGTACGCAATGTTGTGATAACTTGGTAAAAATTATAAAAACATAGTTTGTACAAATGAAAAGGATTCACTGAAAGCTAAAAGTAAAGCACAGTGTATATTATTAAACACAAGGAAAAAAGGTAAAGTGCAAAAGATATTGAAAGTTATGATATTTAAGTTTCAGTATAAATGTGATGAAAAAACTTCAATGTTTTGTGTGACAGTGATTTTATTTGAATATGTATGTCAATATTGTTTTAAATATTGTGACTAAAATTCTTTCTGTTGGGATATATATATATATATATATATATATATATATATATATATATATATATATATATATATATATATATATATAGCAAAAGAACTGCTATTAAACAGTTACAGTATAACTGATGATGGCAGCAGCCAGCAATCATAATATTTCAAAACTTTCAGATCACATTATCTATATCACAATAAAGAATAAAGTTTATTTTGGGGAATTTCATCTGAATAAATGTTAATATAATTTCATTTATTTGGAACCTCTTCTTGATGAAATATTATTACCTTAATTATTTTCACTCATTTAAAAAATTTAACATTTTCTTATTGTTTATCCACTCATCATTACATAAAAATGATAAAACATTGAATGATTATGTTTGTAAAGAACATAGTAAAATTGATTAAAATTAATTCATAAATACATAGATTAGTTTCTATATAAATAATTTATTTACTTTTAATATAATTATCCTCTAAGTGGGTAGAGTAATTGTTTCTAAACTACAGATCACAATTATGTTTGAATTCCTATTACTTAATGAAATAATAAAGTGATATTCATTTCATGATAATGTAGTATCTATCAATAATTATTTATCATGTCATTAAACCAACCATATGCAAAGCACAACATATATGCAGCATTTTATGAGTTTTTGATCAAAATCATGTCTGTTCTTCTTCAGATAATCTCTACTTCACATTGTGATTTACTTGTGTTGATGATTTTATTTTGTATAACACTAGAAATGTAGAGTTTTTTTCACTTTTCTTTTAAAACAATGGGACACATAACACTGAATGACAGCATTGAATTGTTGATTAAAATGACACTAATTGCATGCCAGCCTTTACACTTTCACCATCACTACCCCATCAGTAGTCAATTGTCACATACACTTCACACTTTAAAACCCTCTTCAGTTCCTTTATCCATTTTCCACAACACGCTGATTTACACCTTTTGGGGGATGCACTGTAATTTGGTTTGTCATGTTAGCCTTTATCACAATTGACAAGATGCAAAGGTTATGTGAATATTTTATTTTCATTTCACTGAAATCTGAAGAAATATATTATTTTCATGAAAATGTATATTTTAATGTATACCTAATAGTGAATCAGTAACAAAATTTTAGTAAAAATGGAACTATGCATTTGCTTATTAGCTGTCAAAAAGAACATATAAGCAATGATTTGCTTCATTTGTTATTTAAGAAAAAAAGATAAAAGTTAAAAAAACTTAATATGAAAATGATGTATCTTGAAATTTAATATGACTCTTTCTATGTCTGCTTCTTGAGAATCAGAACAGAACTGAATATTTTTTTTACTTTTAGTTAAATTAGCTGATTCGAAAACTTACATTATATATCGCTTTTTGGTCTTCAATTTGCCTGAAATTTTATGAATATGCATGCAACATCTATTAATATATAAATGTATTAAAATAAGGAAGCCAAGTGTTATCAGTGGTGCAAACATTAATTACAAAATAGGGTATAATACCACTTTTTGATTCTAAAGTGTGCTTTAACTTTTATATTTATGCAAATGAGCTTGAAATTTTAAGCAAATAATAAATAAGAAAAAAACCAACACTCAATAACATTAACTATGAAGATGGCCACAATGTGCTGACCATGTTTGTAAAATAAAAACAACCCTATAACTCTAGATACATACATAACACAACCCATACATTTAGTTAAAAGTAAAAATAAAATCATCCCTGATAATAGCTAAAAGTATATCCGAAAGCGGTCAGACATGCAGAACTTTTGAACAGTTTTTACACACTTTGTATCCAGAAAAGAAAACACTTTTACAAGCACAAGAAAAATTAAATATATAAAATAATTTTATATATATATATATATATATATATATACAATTTAAAAAAAATCTACTCATTAACAAGCACTGAAGATAGCTACAGGATTACCAAAACTTTTGTAAATTTCCCAAAAATTTACTATGCTTCCACATGTTAACAAAATAAAAAGCATAAAAATTTTTTGTCATCATTTTTTGCATATTATAAGACATATATGCGGATATCTACTTTCTCTCTCATCTAGGGTTATAAGTTTTTGACTTTATGTAAAATAATTGATTTTCTGTATCATAATTCAATGAACTTTTGTTAATAAAATAATGAAGAAGTGTTTAATTCAGTTTATTTTTTTTAAATGTTACCCCCAATTTGAAATTGCTAAAATCATATATAAGTATAGGAGTACTATGATTTTTTTGGAACATTCTGGAACCTTCTAGAAATTCCTGGAGCTATCTAGAACTTTATGGAACCTTCTAGAAATTTTTGTTTATTTGTAAATTTTTATGTTATGTTATAGCTATAAACTGTTAAATGCATTAAAAAATACATAAATACTATGAAAATTACATCATTAGCAAATTAAAAATAAAACTTCTGAATTATGATTTTTTACCCTTATTGCATATATGGTAAAATTGAATTTTCATTTTGTGGGGTGACCTTTTTCAAGAAGTAAAACAAATTAATAGCTTTTCCATTACTTTTGAAGAAAAGTTCATCAAGATATGATGCAGGAACATAGAGTTACACAAAGGTTATAACCCTAGATAGACAGAGAGAGAAGTGTACTGTTACAGTTTGATGTTTGGAGATTATGATAAACCCAGGGTCAGTGCCTAATATCCACAAGCCCACAAACTTGGGGGCAAGCCTGATTTATGACCCTCACTATTTTATAAACATTTGCATTTTTCTACCTACATTTATATATGTTATAAATTAAACTAATTACAACTGGCTATTAAAGGATGAAAACTTTTTGCAGGTTTTGATGTCATTCTCAGTTCTTTTTTTATCCAAATCCTTGAATTTATTTTGCTCATGCTAAAATAAAAACACTATGAAATTTACTATTTTTTACACATAAGGTTGAGAATGTGTTAAAATTATTCAACGTTTTAGCAAGAAAAATATCAAGTTGATTTTAAAAATTGCCACAAAACATTATTGATTTATTTAAGATGCAATGATTTTAATGATATGCCTCTAATTTTTATTTAGTTATATTGTATTTATTTTCAATTTTTCTAGCTGAATCATTAACCTATATTGCATATGATCCATTACTGTACAAATTTTATTGTAACCTATAGGGTTAAAATAAAATTTGTATTTTATATAAATACTACCTTATCATGTATTAGAGTGGAGGCCTTGTATCATAGATTCAGGGGTGGGGGGTGCATGGTGGGACTCTCCTTGCACTGGCCCTGGATAAGCCTATATATATATATATATATATATATATATATATATATATATATATATATATATATATATAGGAAAATGATATATAAATTTTTATATATCCAGAAGGATTTCATGTGACAGGTTTCATCCTTTAATTCTTTAGGAAACTAAAGTGATGCTGACAATTTTAAATTTATATGAAATTTTTCTTAATGTATATTTTGGGTATATAGTCTAAATGATTTCATTTACTTTCCTTTTCTTTTTGCTCATGTTTCCATCATTTTTGTTATTAAATTTCTCACATTGTGATAATAGAAGATCTGCTAAGAAAAGTGAAATGTTCTTTAGAATCTGGATTTTAATTTACAGTGATTGATCTAGCAATTAAATCATTTTTCTATATACTTTCTCTTTTAATTAGAGTAGCATTGTTTAAATCAAAATTATGGTCAGACTCATTACAGTAAGCAACTAATGCATTTAGTGTATTCCTCATAAAAGATACTGTTTGTGTTCCTATAACCTCAAGTAATTTAATTAAATAATTATATGAATATAAAAAAAGGATCTTGAACAAAACAAGTTTTTTTCATAAAATATACATAGAGAGAGAGAGAAAAATATTTTTATATTTATTATTTTTAGATGACATGCAGGAGCAAAATATTTTGAATTAATGCATATATATATATATATATATATATATATATATATATATATATATATATTCAAGCATGTTTGGTTGAATAATCTGGACATATGTCTATTTATTTTATTTTAATCCTCTCGATGTTGATAATAAATTCATTAAGGAAGGCACCATAGTTTTTTCATTTCTTTTATTTTTTTC